GCTTCTGCAATTTCTGACGGCGCCACCCGCAGACAATCCTGTCGTGGACCGGATCGCAGGCCAACATCTTCGAGAAGCAGAAAGTGCGCGAGATCGCTTCGCTGATCCGAGACACGGACCGACACGGAAAGGCCCGCGTCGTGGACACCAGCGAGGGGGAGGAGCCTGAGGAGATGCTGAAGGTGCAAACAAAATGTTGATTGTTTGAGCCCACAGGATTTCTACGACAGCGTGTTAGAGTTGTCATACATAAAGGGGAAAAATTAGTATATTCAGTGGTACATTTCTACCAAAAAACTTTTTCAAATTAATCTAAAAAAATTTCTAGAAAAAAATATGGGATATTCTGAGTCCAAAAAAGTTGAACATTTGTGAGAAACGAAATCAGAAATTTGGAGATTAAGCTCAATTTTTTTTAGGAAAAAGCATAAGGATGTTAGAGATCCAGAATTTGGAAATTTGCAAGAAAAACTCAGAAATTTTGAGATCTATTTCAGAAATTTCTAGAAAAACAAGAGCAGCTCTGAGTTGTCAAAAGTTGAAAATTTGTGAGAAACAAATGTTGAGATTAACCTCAGAAATTTTCTGGAAAAAATTTAGTTTTTAATCATCTTTTTCTAGCATATTTTTGACTTTTGAAAATCAAAAATGTCCATGTTTTTTTTATTTTTTTTTTATTTCCCCCCCCCAAGAAAATTTCTGAGATCCCAATTATTTTTTCTCACAAATTTTCAACTTTTGGAGGTGAGAAATTTTCCAAGTTTCTTCAATAAAAATTCTGAGATTAATCAAAAATATTTTGAGTGTCTTTTTTTTTTCTTGTGGAAATTTACTCCCTTTTTCTCTTTACAATGGCTCTCATATGCCTTTCAATGTTTCTGTGACCTGCAGGTCACCAAAGCTGCGATCCTGAACTTGTAAACTGTTTGGTATCGCTGTGTTGTTTTTTTTTACCAGGTTCTCGGCCCGATGCCGGCTCTGGCAGAAAGCACGCCGGAGGAGGACACCAAAGCCGATGCCTCCAACTCTGCTTCCCTCTACAAGGTTATTTTATCTCCACCCCTCCCCACCAAACCAGTGTGTTACCTAACTGGAGATGTGGAGCTGAACTGGTCTCGAACCCCTTTGCAGGTATCTGATGCCACAGGCTCCATGACGATGACCAAGGTGTCAGAAAAGAGCCCGTTTGCCAAGGAGCTGCTGGTCCGGGACGACTGCTTCATCCTGGACAACGGAGCAAATGGAAAAATCTTCGTCTGGAAAGGTGAAGGAAAAACTTCCGGAACCTGAAACAGGAAATGTTTCTCCTGAAATAATGCAGTAGAAAACGACACTCTGTATCTCAAAAAACAATTTATTGAACTTGGTGAGAAATTAAATGGCTCCTGTAATTCCGAGGGTCAGGGGTCACAGCTGCCTGGAAATAGTTAAAATTTATACTTGAGAGCCCCTGTAACAGTGCTTATGACTACCTATTTTAAACAACCACTACATATTAATATACTTTCACTTGGCAACTATTTTTGCAGAACTGCTAAAGCTAACATCCGTGGTCATTTCTGCTCTTGGCAGTGCAGCCAGTCCTCGCATAATGAATGGATTAGCAAACCTCTGCCAATAGCATGCTAAGTAGCTTCTAAATATTTCAGCCTCTCAAGCTCCATTTTCTCTCAAATATTTCAGATGAACTCTATAGAAAAATCACCTTCAGAGGGCCGTAGAAATGAGACATTCTCACAAACTGAGTGACTGATAGACGTTTATCAAAATAAATGAATAAATAAAGCAGAATACTTACACTTTAAAACGGCTCACTCCAAAAAAGACATGAGAAGTTTTACCACCAGCTCATTGCAGATTCTAATTTTTATTTGAATTTTTTTTACATTTATTCCCTGAACACATTAGGTTGTTGTTGTTTTTTCAGCTTTTAATTGTGCAAGGTAAATGTAACTAAAGATGGAAAAATCCACATCCACACTGAAATGAAATGAAGAATTGCAAATGCAAAGTATATTTATTATCTTTTTGACCAAACAAATATGATTAAAGGTTATCAGAAGTAAGGTATTTTTATTTCTATAGCACATGTTCAGCAACAAAGCAGTTCAAAGTGCTTCACATGAATCAGAAGGAAATTCAAACAGAACAACAAAACTAAAAAAAAAAAAAAAAAATACAAAACTACATATTGTTTCCTTATGTTTAATAAGAATAAGTGCCACTTTGGACAAAACTCTCCAAATGTTAATAAATGGTCTCAATGCCCTCTTATAACGCTTTTGTTCCTCTAGGTTTTCCCCAAGCTCAGCGTGTACGTAAAGAAAGATAGACGGCCATTTTCCCAGCAGCAGTCTGTGTTGTTTACGACCCCGTTATAGAGAAATACAAGCTCTGATAATAATATCATGTCAACAGGTCACGGAGCAAACGCAGAGGAGAAGAATGCTGCCCTGCAAATGGCGGACAACTTCATCGAACAAATGAAATACCCCAGAATGAAAACACAGGTTGGTTAAAAACTTTTGTAAAAACCCCCCCAAAAAACAAGAGGTGTACTGAAAAGGGGAAGGTCAGAGAGCAGCACAAGTAAAAAACATAAAACTAAAATGTTTTTGTCCTGCAGGTGGAGATTCTGCCTCAGGGGAAGGAAACCATCATCTTCAAGCAATTCTTCAAGAACTGGAACTAAACAAATCCTGCAAACCCGGTGTTTGTACATATTTCAAAGTTAGCAGCTTGTTTTGAATTTTGGTAGAGTCAAGAGATGTGATGCCACTTTTATAAAAAAAAAAAAAAAAGAAGAAGAAGAAAAAAGCAGACATGTTTTGTGGTCAGAGTCTGAACAAATCAAAACAATATCAAGAGAACTGGATTTTTACATGAATATATTTAAATTTGTTCAGCCACATCGCAGATTTGTCTGAAATTGAAGAATAAACCTGAACGTTCTCACTGCTCCTGGTGTGTTTATTCTCAACAAGTTGCCTCAGTTCGTTTCAAGCTGAAGCCGATAAAAGGTGGGATTTTTCTCGGGAGAAATCTTTGTAACCTTTATTCAGCTGCCACGACTGCATCTTATCTGATCCCCCAGACAATAGGGAGGGCGGCTGTGGAAGCATCCCGCTGTCACGCCATCCCTCTTATCAGCAGGAGGAGCCCAATTACTCCGCAAACAGGTTGATGAGCTGTAAGGGCGACGGCCCAGCTGACGTTGCAAAAGTCATCTTTATCAGCATCAGGTCAGAGCAAATGAAAGTAAGGGAAAAATGATGCCTATATGGTGACTCAACCTGCGCTTCCATCGCTTTTAAAACCTGCTGGTTTTCTGATGAACTTCCTCTGAAAAGCAGCTTTTAAGTCTTTATAATATCACATTATTAGTTGAGGTTATTTTTGATAATTCTCAGACATTGGTTGTTTTTTTTGTTTTGTTTTTTTCAGATTATAAATTTGGTTTCTGAGATCAAGTTGGTTTCAGTGCCATAAAGAAGAAGAGTAAAGCATATTTTAGATTTGCTCCAATAAGAAAATGCAAATCCTGAATTGCGACTAGATGGAAATCCACTGGAAAACATAGCAAATAACAATGAGTCTGATTTGTATTGTCTTAACAGCTCAATTATTAATTCAATAAAGTACGATTCTCTTTGCTACTGCTGTTAAAGTTAAGTTTATTAGTATATTAATGTAGCATTTAGTGTGCAAAGTGTTTAGAACTGAATGAATACAAGTTTCCTCCAATGTTTGCAATATCTTCATCTTTTTTTAACCACTGATGTGTATTTATGGTTCTTTGAAAAAGCATCTTCTTCAATTTCTATGATTTCAATTTATTTTTTACAGATTTTTGATGGAAAAAAAGATTCAATTCAGTCAGATTGGAAGGAGAACATCAGTTTGCAGTTCTTACCACAGATTCCCTTCAGGCCTGACCTGCTTATCTCTCCCTGTTGATATTTTCAGCAGTTGAAAAGGCATCTTCTCTTTTGTCATTTTTGTTTTCTCTCTGTTCCTTAAAATCGACAGCAGTGAACTGTTTGTGGGAAAAGGAGCAGCAGCTGACGTACACACGTATTTGGTGACTCAATATGCAGCTGCTTTTTATGCCATAAATAATACAAACTTATGTGTTTATGGCCTGAAAATAAAACTAATGAAGCTAATCAGCAAAACAAGTCGAGGACAACTATTGCTTCATTTGCTATCGTGTGAAATCTGGCTTTCTGTCCACAAAATATTTCAACAATTATTTCTAACGCTAATCTGCATCTTAGACGAAAATAAACAGAAAGTATGTTTAAGCCTTTAATTTGCATCCAACCTTTTTTGGAGAGAGCATAAATAACATGTAAAGGAATTTTCTTCATCTTAAAGAGTACAATTTAGTAATTTACAGATTTGTGAAGAATAATTTGTTACACAGGTTTTTAAGATATTGTTTGAACTTATTTAAAAATAATCTTACCATACCTATAAATGTTTTTTATATATATTTCTTGTAAGTAGGAGCATTGCCACATGCTCTGATCCATTATGAAATCTAGAAAAAGCGTAATTTAACAAGCCATAAGGGACACAGACCTTTAAGGAAATGCCTGTAGATGTAAATGTTTGGTTGCATAATGTGAGGTCAGGTTTTGTAGTTTTTTTTTTTTTTTTTTTGGTTCTTTATCCTGCAGTTTGCTCCTGAGGCCCACTCAGTTCTCCTGTCTCAGCTGTTGTGGTGGCAGAAAGGTTTAAATATAACATCCCAAACAGATGATATTTTAGGAATCAATTGTTTATAAAATGACATTTAATGTCATTTGATGATTTATCTAAGCTCTCACAGAGCCGACTTAACCCCTGCTCTCATTCCTCACAGTTTACAGTTTACAGTAACTTCAGCCTGAGACCTGGGCCATTTGCGTCATTCTGACTGATTGCTGGCTTTATTGCGGCTGTATAACAGCCCTCCTCCTGATGCGCTCAGAGTGAGTCTGCTGCGAGGTCAACTTCCTTCTTCAGGGGTTGAATAAAAAGCTTGGACGAGCAGCGTCACCTGTCCACTTCTCTCGACCATCAGAGCTGCTGCCAGGCTCCGACAACACAACAGGTGATCAGCTCTAAATACATCGATCCTCTGTTTATCTGCGGGGCTAATCAGTTTGGGTTAAAAGTTGGTATTTCAACTATTCTAATTATTTATGAATAACTACATTTTTATTATTATTTTGCTTTCACTTTGATGGGGGAAAAAACATAATAAAATCTAAAGTAATATGAAGTTATGTGTATGGCAACTACAATTATATGTTTTCCATCTTTTTCCTTTCATTTAATTATTCTTCTATTTTTTTATATATATAATTTTCTCATTTAAAAAAATGGAATTCTGTTTTGTTTATTTATTTTTGTCCTTTTTTCAAAGTTTTTATGCGTGTGTTTCTCCACAGCCATGAATAAGGAAGAAGGCGCGGAGCTAAAAACTATCCTGAAGCGCAACAAACGTAAGTCGCTTTTATTATTATTATTATTATTATTATTATTATTATTAAACTGTCAGGATGAATCTCTGACGTTTTCCCTCCTGAAACAACAAAACACGTTTTCCTGGTGACGTCATGTGGCCTCGTGTGGAAAACTGAAGAAGCACTTTCTATATAATTTGAAGTGGATAACAGTGAGACTAGCTGTCGTAAACACGGTTTGCTGCCCTGCAGGCGTCAACCTGCTGCTGAACGACGAGAGCGGCAGCGCCACCCAGAGCAGCTCCATCGGGGCAGTTCGCTGGAAGTTACCCGACGAGAGCGTCCAGCCCCACAGCTCGGCCCCCACCGTTCACGCGAACCACAGCAAGAGCTCGCAGGTACGTTTATTTTCCTCCCGCTCTCTTCTTCCAATGATTCCCCAGTGATTGCTTGAAATGGTTAGCTTTGCTTATAGCAGTGTAGCTAGTTGTGTTCGGGCCTCCGAACCAGCAGGGGGCCGCCGAGAGCACACCTACAACACGGCGCAAGTCAGGTTTATAAATTTGGCAGAGCAGCAATAAAACGAAGCAAAAGTGGTCATATTTGATGGCACAGTTCTACTCACCAATGCCTATTAAACCAATTTTATTACAAAGTTTGAGCAGCAGATAAATAATGAGAAGTGCGTGTGATTTGAGTGACAGAGTTGTTTTGAGAATCATATAACACTTGGTAGCTAATGTAGCTTTTAGCTTTGACATAAGGGTATCAAACTCAAGATGAAGCCGAAATGTATTGATAAAGCTCAGCGTGTTCGGGGTTACACAATGTGTTTGCTACGTTTGGTTTAGTTGTCTAGTTTCTGAACATGGGTTGGCATAGCTGCGGTTAGTGTGTTTGCTTTGTACTCAGAAGCCAGAAATGAAACAGAAACTGAAGAGAAACTGGATTCTGATTGGAAACATCAGAGGTCACAGAGTGACCCCAAGGCCAATATGGCCGCCACACTTAAAAGCATAGTAAAGTCTTGAGGTATAAGCCATTTTGTGATCCCTTATATCTCAGCAAACCACTGTACTGTGTAACATTTGTAATCGTGAACATGTTATTGTTATTAGCTTATATTGCTAACAATGGTTTTAGCACCAAAACAGCAACAGCCATTGGTTTTCAGGACTGGCCTCGTTTTTTTAAGTCCATGCAAGTTAAAAAAAAAATTAGCTAGAAGAGCTGATGAAACATGATAAATCTGCTGAAACATTTTGCCTCTTGCTTTATTTTCTTCTTTTAAAACTCAGTTTGTGTCCGTCTTGCAGCAACACGCTCGCCAGGGCAACTTGAAGGACCTGTGCAGCCTGCAGGAGTGTGTCCAGTTCATTAATCACTGGAAGGAGCAAGTGGACCAAGTTTGCAAGGTAGAACCACAAAGATATCAACATGTCATTTTGTTGTGTTTTTTTCCGAGGAAAGTACCCAGAATGCTTCCAAACACAACAAACAAAACAGAAAAGTTCTGATTGGAAAAGGTTTTTCAGGCACATTCCATATCGATGTCAAATATTTACAGTAAATTTAACTTTGTGGGAGTTGTTCATCAACTTTAAAGCAGATTGGGATAATATTTTGATTTATAATTATGCAACAAAATAAGAGTATGAGCTAAACACATGTAGACAGTCACGTGTATTTTCTGTTGTATGGTATTTTATCTATGGGCAATTGATCATTAGCATGACCTTCATATGTCAGGGTGCATTGATCTGGATAAACGTTGACATTGAAACGTGTGTTCGTTCAAGACAGATGGGTGGGTGGCTGCCGATAGGTTAGACTTATGCTTATGAATAGATTTACAGCCTGAGTGTGTGATCTTTCAGATTGCGGTCTAAAAAGTCAACTCACTGCATTTATTACCACTTGAATCAAATGAACAGTGACAAGTTTTGATAATCTTTTGATTTATGAAGCCGGTTTAAAAACAGTTTCTGTGTGTGTTGTGATTTAGCATGGTGGCACCAATCCAGGGGAGGGAACCAGCAAGGCGGAGGCCCAGCGCTCCGACCGGCGCACCGAGCGCAGCCTGGAGGAGAGCAGAAAGTTGATCCTGGAGTGGGCCGATGAGCTCCGCCATGTTGACAAGGTGAGCTCTCAGACTCCAAATTCCTAGACTGAGGGTGTTAAAAGCAGCTAAACAACATCAAACTATCACATGCACACTTTTTTTTAACTGCTCTGGCATCTGCAGCTTCTAAAGGAGACCCCATGGAAATCTGACAATCAAAAGAAAGAAACTAAAGAGGAGCCCAAAGAGGAGGGACAAAAGCAGATCATGGAGTGGGCAAAGGAGCTGCAGAAAGCGACTGAGGTGAGACGTTGCAACATGTGATGTAGCATTCACAAAGTAGAAGAAGTAGAAAATTTTTTTTTTTTTTTTTTTTCATTAATAAAATGATCATTTGCGCTTGCAGAGCTGCGGCGTGCCGAGCGAGGAGCTGGGAAAAGTGCTGCACCTGCTGGGCATCAAGAAGAAGAGACTTTACAAGCTGCTGCCTCTGCTGGAGTTCATCACCTGGTCTCTGCTCAAAGAAGAGAACATGGTGAGAAACCTCACCCTGTGCAACATTCCTATTCATTTATATAAAATATTCCATTGAATGTTGTAGAATAGCCATAAATTAATTTGACTGTAAAACAATTTTATACAACATGGCGCCTGAGTGAACCCTGCTCTGTGTGCGTGTGGAAGAGCCATAAATGGTTTTTACTGGCTCTGATCCGCTGCTGTGCTGATAACCTACGACGGTCTCTGATAACAAATTCTAACCATTCAGCTGTTTATTTACGACCACTTTCAGCTTTGATTTCCAAAGAAATAAAAATTAGAAATAATACAATTCTCTGAATACAAGGCTCTGAGTGAAATGTGCAGAAATAGATGGTGTTTGTTGTCTCTTGTGTTGAGTACTTCACAGAACAAACGTGAAGAAAAACTTCACGTTCTTTTTTTTTTTTGAAACATTTAAAGCAAGAAGATAGATTTTCTTATCTTTCTGTTTTCCAGGCAATGGTTTCCCAGATCTGGCTGCTGGCGAAGCAAAGGACCTGGAAAGCAGGAATACCCAGATACATCCCAAACTCAGGTGTGCAGATATGTTTTTTTTTTATTATTCAAATTGAAAAACCTATTAATATATTGCTAATTTATCTTTCTCATTTGTGATCAGTTTGTAATATTTTGTCCTTGTGTCTGTTTTCAGTCTGGACCTGGATCTGCAGTGCAGCAGGTAACTTTGTTTTTGCTTCGCTCCATCATCTAATATAAAAGCAAATTTAATCAAGATTGCGGTTCTGGATACTTAATCCTTTTAATTTTTCCCCGACAGCCGACGTGATTCTTGACCCCATGACCAACCACCCCTGGCTGCAGCTTTCAGACGACCAGCGCAGGGTGCAGGAGGGCCTGTCGGCGACGGACCTCCCAGAGAGCAGCCAGCGATTCGACAGCCTGCCCTGCGTGCTGGGCTGGGAGGGCTACAACAGCGGCCGCCATTACTGGGAGGTGGACATCGCCAACAACGGCTACTGGCGGGTCGGCCTGACCACCGCCAACTCTGAGCGGAAGGGCAACTTTCCCATGACCCCCAGGAAGGGTTACTGGGTCCTGTGGAGAAGCACCCACCACTTCTACGCCTGCAGCAAGCCGGAGACGCAGCTGCCCGCCGCCCTCGTCCCGCGGCGCCTCGGGATTTACTTGGACTACGAGGAAGGCCAGATCTCCTTCTACAACGCCGAGACCAAATCCCACATCTACACCTTCACAGGGAACTTCGGGGGAAAGCTGTACCCTCTGTTCGCTCCCATGGACGGCCGCACGCTCATGACTGTCATCAAGCCGCATAAAATCTCTGGAGGCACCGGAGAACCTAAGAAGAAGGAGTTTGTGAAGAGTCCCAAGATGTTTAGAAAGGTGGCGTGGGAAGACGCCACCCAGCTTTAAAAACCCCCCAGCAAACCCAGTCAGAAGTACTGATCTGTCATTTGCTTTTTACGTCCAACTTCACTCGAACGCAGCACAAGATCACGCTGTTTATACAGGAGAGATTCAGGTTCGTCTATGCAGTTAACACAAGTTCCAAGCAAACATTTTCCAATCAAATGTTTGGTCTGTTTAACGTAGAAATGCAGAAAGACCATTAGAAAACGACGAAGAAAAAAAACAAAATCAAGAACCAGACGCTTTGTGTTTCTCTGGTCTCTAGTGAAAGAGATTCAAATCCTTTATTTAAATAGATACGTTTTCAAGAGCCGCATGGATTGATAGACTAGAAATATCTGACGTTCTCACAGCGAGGAAATGTAGGAAAATATAGTAAACCTTCCTGGCTACTGATGAGCCGTGGCACATTCAGGGAGAAAATATAGAAATAAACTTCAAGTCCGTTGTTTAGACCCAGTAGCAAAAGTGGAAGATGTCTTAATTTGGGGTTTTCTAGATTAAACCTGATCTACATTTCTTTAAACAAAGAAGTAAAGATGATCTGACCTCAAATGAAATCTGCAGAAGAAGTGGTCTTTAAGAAGTGGTCTGATTGTTTAATTTCTATAAATGCTACCTCAATGTTACTCTCAACTTCTCTGTCAAAGTAATATGAAGGATGAATTGTATATGACAATGTTTAGAAAGATTGTGCTTCTATTCAGTCACCGTGTATGAATGCCTTAGTCTTTAGGACAATGTTATAAACTGAGATTTGTGTAAAATGCATGACAGAGGCTATGTGTAACCATAAAGAAACACATTTATTAGGCTGAACATGTGGTTGCTTTCTGATTCATGCACTTTAAACTGCACTTTTACAAGAAGCTGTTGTTATAAATAATTTGATGTTGAAAAAGATCTGCATTTTTCCAGTGAACATTAAACAACTAAGCTCCACCAATGAAGTATTTCTTTCACTTTAGCGATCCAGTAGGGCTGGTCTGATCTTTTACTGGACGAATAAAACTCCAGATCTCCCTCAGCTTGCAGTTTGTTACGTAAGTGCAGATAAGGAGGGCGTGGAGGCGGTCAGGACTCTCTCTTGCAGGCCCAGGGTCCGTACTCCTCACAGTCTGCAGCAAACAGAGTCCCACCTCCCCTCAGGTCTGCACAGTCCCTGTCGTCACTGTCCCACTGCACCGCCAGCCTTCAACACACACACACACACACACCTTCATATAATAAAAATAAATCATTCACTCTAAGAATGATTATAAATCTCCATTGAGATTGTAACTATGGAACTATGTATATAAACCAGATGAAAAATGAATCTTATTTTACAAAGATCTGTGTCTGTATAATGGTGTGTCTTTATATGTATTTATATATATATATGTACTGTGTGTTTGTTATGATTTCTTAATAAACATCAATGTAAGATATCCTGTACTTTGTGTTTTACTTTCAGACTAAGTTCAGAGTTTATTATATTTATATTGTAATTATATTAACTGATTAATATAATTTTATTTTTAACAAATAAAATCTGCAGTAGCTGATGTTATGCAGTTGTTTATGTTCTTGGCGCTAATTTAAAGGGTTATTTTGTGTCTCCCTGACATAAAATAATCTTTTGGTTAAAAGTTTATTCCAAATCTATTGACACTCCTAAAGAATATATTTAAAAAGCCTCTTTTATCCCTACATTTTAATTTTCTAAAGGTGACAACTGTGGAAAGCTCTGTATGGAGCCACTATAATGTCAGCATTTATCCAACATGGCGTCCTGGAGTCTTTTTTAGAAAATGAAAGCAATCCCTCTCAACGTCTCTAATCCATGCAAACTTTAAGGTAAAAATGTTCATCACCAGAGTTTGAAGCATGGATTAATGAATGAAAGAATCAGGAAGACAGTCATTTTTGTTTTCAGCATTGACTTGTTTTGAATGCAACGCTTCTGGCATCATAAATAGATAGCAAGGAAACGAAACTGTTGCGCTGGTTGGTACTTTCCATCTCCATCATGCCATGATTGTTTTTAGTTCGATGTGAATTTAATTTCTCCTTTCAGTAAAAACTTTTTAATGTTTTTACTGAAAACAAAACTCTCCCTGTCTCTCTTGATGCGTTTATGTACATAGGATGATTTCCTCATTGATTTTTAAAAATATAAACTAGTCTCTACTCAAAACACAATTATCTATCATTAAAATACATTGCACTGTAAAAGTTGAAGAATGAGCAAACCTAAAAGGGAACTTGTTGCTAAAATATTTTTAGGTAAATATGGACCAGATGATACTTTCTTTCACCAGAAAATTCAGACTTACGGTAAGTGGTCCTGGACGTCCTTCCCACTCACCCACAGCCAGTGTCCCTCCTGCTGGCTGTCCGTCAGTCCCACCCACAGGAAAGGAAATTTGGTGGCATTGCACATAACTCCTTGGAGAAAATCCTATATTTCAGGCAAAAGGTAGACTTTTTAACTTTCTTTACTCAGACAAAAAAACAAAACGTCAGTATACATGACATTAATGTGCAAAGTCTCAGAGATGTTTACAGAGAGGAACATAGGGAGGACTGTCCTCAAAGCTGAAAAACACCTGTGTTACTTTCTAAAGGGAACTTAGGCGACGTTCACATTGCACCTCGAAGTGACCCACTTCCGATTTTTTGTCTTTTCTTTTTTTGCCATAGTCGTTCACACTTCCAAATGTGACCTGTAAAGTATTCCCCAGTGTGACCTGCATACGACCTGAACATGTCCTGTAGAGGGCGCAATAGAGCAGGCTCGGTGCTTTGCCAACCGCCATAAAAAAAGAAGAAGTGCACAGTGTTCGTGGAAGTTTTGGAGTTGTTGTCCAGCACAGTCATAACTTAATCCTTGTTATCGCCTGCCACGGTTGTTGATTAGTGAGAATAGTGACGTCTTTTCCGTTAGGTCACGTTTGAATTAACGGGGTCGCATTAGAAAAACATCCGACCTTTGTTGTTTAGACTGTCATGAACAGATCAGACACAAGTCGCAAATAAATAAAATCTGCTCCACAGTTAGCGTTCACGTTTACTTCTGCTAACACAGAGCACTGCTTTTTAATGGCGGTTGGCTCAACATGGAGCACGCTCTCTATGTGTGACGTCATTGCGCCCTCTACTGCGCATGCGGGACACTTTTAGGTCATTTGCCATTCACACTGGGGAGCGCATACAGGTCGCATATATTTGGAAGTGTGAACGACCACAGTCAAAAAAAAAAAAAAAAAAGGAAATCCGATTTGACAAGACATCGGAATTGCGTCACTTCAGACTGCAGTGTGAACGCAGCCATCTTGTTTTCGTCTCTCTCCTGTCGGTCACCATCTCTGCGTCGTCTCTGATCACAACCAGGCTGCTGTTGTGCTCCTGGCAGAACTCGGCGCTCTCTTTCCACCGGCGGTTTTCCTGGAGTCCAACTGAGAAAAAGTAGCAGTGACGCCTCCACCACAGCCAGCCTTCCGGACACAAACTGCATCTGGAGTCTTCAGGCAGCGCAGACACAAACAGAACCGCTGCAGTCAGGGCAATGTCTATGATGCTGCACTTACTGTTGCATACAGATTAAAAAATGCTGTTGCTTTCTGAGACTTGAGCCAGATAATAAGTTGTTAACTCACCCTGAGTGGCCAAGTGCAGCATCATTTTCAGGCCCTGACATTCTTTTTGGCACTGCTGCAGGTTTTCCGTCTGTTTATTTGGAAAAGTTGGATCTTCTTCTTCTTCTCGTGCTGCTCCCCATATGTTTGGCGCATGAGTTTATAAAACTTTAGACAACGTAAACTGAGATTGTATTTACTTCTCTAATGCAGTCGTAGTGAAAGATGGAGGTCCTCAAGGTATGTATTTTAGACATCCTAAATTGTTTTAATTTCGAAGAAATATTTGATTTTTATTTATTTATTTTTTGGTCAAACACATTTTTCTAAAAACCTTAACTGCTTCGATGGAAGGAAAATAAGAAATCCAAAATGCCAAAAAGCGTTCAGCTTTCAACGACTTGACATGTCACACGTTTTTCTTCATTTATTATTTATTTTCTACCATTTTCTAAAGAATAAAAATGGTTTAAATTTAACCTTTGCATACACCTGAATTCGTATTGGTCATTCTTACTTACCAAATAAAACGGAGGATAAAATGATCACAGTGATCAGAGATATTGCTGCTATGGCCGCAGCCCCTCTATTTGTCAGGTGCAATTTCATGCAGGATTTTGTATCTGTAAGAATAAAATTAGTTTAATTTACAGAACTAAATAGCAATAAACTGTAGTCTCAGATCACATAAAAGCAGACAAGTCCATTTCAATTTTAAAAAAGTAAGTTTTTCCAACATTTTTGAAGCTACTTGGTAACTGTGGGAATGCTAATGAAGCTTTCAGGGTCGTGTTGTTGCACGTCTTTTTTAAATGGTGTTGCAGATGTTCAGGTTCCAAGGTTTAGTTGTATCTGGTTGTGTCAGATTAAATAAGGAGATGATGAACAATTTGAACATTTATTTATTCTGTATCTATGGTCTCTTGCTTTAGAAAATCCCTTCAAGCCTTACTGTCTCTTTTTCTGTTCCTCAGACTGACGTTTGGGACTTGCAACGTCTTATTCCCTAATAAAAAATCTTAAAATCTTAGGATACCAACTATTCTGGCTCACCTAAATTCAGACAATGATTCTTCTTCGACTCACAGACAGTAATCCCTGGTGTGATGAACATTAATCTGTCTCTGTTCCACCAGTCTGCAAGTATCTCATAATAACTCTTATTATTGTGGAACACAACCTTTTCCAGATGCTTTCCTCATTTGTATCTATTTATTTCACTGAGCAGCACAGAGAGAACTTACTCCGACAAATTTGCTATGGACGATTAGTGCAAGAAGAAGTTTACATCGGCACATCCATGTTTGCCCAGAGGTCATTGTTTGTTTGGGTGGACTTCGGGGATGCAACTTAAAATCTTAAACATCTGCTGTGTGTTAAAGTTCAACCCACAGAATGAACTTGGTGAAGTTGTGGCAACCAGAACCAAGAGAGGCGACGTAGGTTAGCATGAGCGAACGCAGCACAGACTGGAAAAGCTGCCATCAGAAAACAATTTGATCTTTAACATATAAGTGAAACTCGTCCCATTCACCTAGATATCCACATGTTCACATCTGGCCGACCTGGAGACGAACCCACCAGAGCAACAAGAACGACATTTTGATGCTTTAAATTAGGATTACAGCCATTTTCAAATAAGTTAGGCCAGTTGTGGATGCATGAAACTCAGCAACAATGAACAGCAGCAGTTATCTGTTTTATCTTTAAATTTCCATCTTCCTCCAGCAGAGTACATTTTCATCCATTTCACAGCTCACCTCGGCATGCTGGAGTTTTGAAATCCTCTGCAGGTCTCAGTGATCCGTCTGCGCTCTCGATTGCAGCCATTTGTCCCTTTAGCTTGAACTTCACATGTATTTTTGACTTGTGTCGCTGTGCCACGTCATAGCGCATTTTGGTATGAGTGCACAAAAATAAACAAGTTCACATCCAAGGCAGTTTACAGAGGAAGCAACCAAAGTGTGAAAATAAACCCATCATTGTCTGGGGCCCTGTGTGTAGGTGGGTGTGACATGCAGCATCTGAACTCTGCTAAATTAGAACTGGAGACCACAACATGAACTCAGACAAGAAGGAAAACTTCCTTAAGAGTTGACATAACTGGAATATATCCATATTCTATTTGCACCTTGTCAAAGTCAATGCATTATCTTTGCTGCTGATGCGGCAGTCGCCCACTGCAGGAGGCTCACTGGGAGCAACAGGTTCTGACTGACCAACCAGCTGCAGGAGCAACATTCAGTTTTTAGTCCAAACTAAACTTGGACTGGTTTTAGAAAAGAAGAGATGAAATGGGTTTCAGGGAACACAAATATCCAACTGTGGTCTAGTATTTATGGTCTAGCTTCTGGTGCAAATATTTTCGCACACTTGAAGTGAAGCAAAACTAATGTACAACAAAGTTTTCAGCATCACAAGAAACTGTTTTAAGTCAATAATTCTTGAATATTGATTTAAAAAAAAAGACCAGTTCCTCTGTCAAACCACTCGCTTGTAGTGCAAGTGAAAGAAAAATCTGCAAGTAGAACTTGTTTGTTTGTTTTTTCTCTATAATCAAAAATTAAAACCATGGTGTTGCTGAAAAGTTACTTGCGAGTTTCTTTTGTCTCATTTCAAGTGCACTAACGTATTTGGAGAAACAACTTGTTTCCCTGTTGGTCCGGATCCTGTTACCAACATCAGCAGCATCCTCTGCACTGCCAGGGTATTTTACCGTGGTTTCATTGTTGTTTCACACCTCTGTGCACAAAACCACGTCATCTCCAGAATGCAGAATCCGTCTCTTCTCTGAACAAGATGGCGGCACAGTTCCATGGCAGTCATGCGTGCACATTGGACTTGTGGAAGGTCCACAATTTCCTCCCTGAGAGTTGATTTCTTTTCATTGTCCATCATGTCACACCAAGAAGCAGTGTGTTTGTGGTGCTACCTTCAAGTTTATCTACAGGTGTGTCTCAGTTTACCCCAGCTATCGAGAATTAACGCAAGATATTTTTTGGCTTTCATTGTATTCACACAGAAACAAAACGCTCTCACTCAATGATGTGGAATTTATGAAAGTGAAAATGATGCTGCTGTAGAAGCGCATTAGAAGTAAGAAAAACGAAACAGTTCAACAAATCAAAGCAGAGCTGGAATACAGGAGAGAGAGGAAGAACAGGCTCAATAGAACGGGTTTAAGGGAAGACACAAATCCAACATAATCAGATTAATCAGCAGAAAACACATTTATTGGATTATCACAACAGTAATGTCAAGCTGGGCTGGTTCAGGACAACAATAGCAACAAACGGTAGCATCAATTTGCATTTTCACATAAATATACTACATTTTTTACAGTGTAATCATGTTGGCGATGTCAGCAAAGCAACATTTTTTCCTTTCAAATCTCAGCCATTCTTTCCTCAAGGCAAATGTTAATTTCACATTTGAAGTTCAGCAGAAAACAGACCTAAAAATAATCATTATTACCTGTAATTTATAAATGCAGAGAGTTATGTACATTTTCTGTTTTTACGTCACATTGACAGCAAAATTCAGAATTTAATTCCGTCTATGATAACATCAACAGGCTTGTGACTGAATGAAAAAATATTTTTGTGGGAAAAATAAAAACGTGTAGAGATTGTGTACCAGCAGTTGAATCAGGTAAAATGTTAACATATAAAAAGGCAACATATCACAATTTCTATTTATTAGCACTGAGAACTGAAGATAATGCATCTCGTGTCCTTTCAGATTTTTATAATATTTATTTATTTTTAAATTGTTGGAAAACGCATTGATCTGCCATTTCAGCCGGAGGAATTTAACCAAAACGTCTGACTGCATGTTTTGTTAAGTATTTCAAGGCAACTCCAAAGTGTCACAGTGAAATTCTAATGCTGATTTCACATGTCAGGTAATATTTAAAATATTTTAGAAAAACTTTTACATATTTAATAAGAGTATTTGCAACATATTTATCAGACCTTCAGATGAGAGTAATATTATTTTTCTGCATTGTGAAAATAATAAAATTTTCATACCCAAAAACGCTCTGAAGAAGAATTACATGTATGTTATGTATTTTAAAAAAAAAAAGAAAGAAAGAAATCTATCTATAAACCCACTAAAGCCTACATTATCGTAATTCCTTTAAGTTGAATATTAAATAGCGCCCTCTGGTGGATACATATATAAAAATGAACAGCTGTGATGATATTCAATTGTGACTCAAAGAAGTGTTAGTTAATCTTCAGATAAAAATATGATTTTAGGATTAATATTTAGCAACAACGTTTCAGTTTTTGTGTATTTTGTTTTAAAGACAATTAATGAACTGAGACAACAATATCTATACGTTTTCAGCAATATTCATTCAACAAAGTGAAAAGAGTTTGAAAAATCCCAAAACCAAATCGTTCCTGGTATCACTTTGGGTTTGAAGATGCACCGAGAACCTGATCTGAAATCCACCAGATTTTCAGCTTGATAGATTTACGGGAACCAGTACTGCAGCAAACCAATCGCTGTCAATCAATCCTGTGTACACGCTGCTCAATGTAGACACACACACACTGTAGCATTCCAGGAAAACCATTTATCATGCACAAGGGTGAATGCTTTAAAGGCACTGCACAGGAATTTGGTTCTTTTTCTTGTAAGATGTCAAAATATTCAATTTGTTGTGAATTGATAATAGATAAACAAATTGATGTTTGATAAGGAAATGTGCAAAAAGGAAAAGGATCACAGCTTGGTTGTAAAAAAACAAAAAACTTTTGAACTTTTTCCTAAATTTTCAGGTAATAATAAAGTGTTTGGCGTTCCAAATTCAGATTTCTGTACACATGGACCTGAATGCCTCATCTGTTGTAACAGCAATAGAAACTGTGAAAGAGTATTGGGGTCTTATGCTTTATCAGTGTTATTATATAAAGTAAACTTTTCTGAGTTGGTATTTTAAAAGTTGGCAAGTGAATCAGATATTATTTTCCAATGCCTCCAAATGTTACAACACTTGATTAAATGTTCTCTTACCATCATTATATACCAAATAGTGTCTTTTTACAACTAAGTTGATGGAGGAATTTCCGCAACTTTATAATAAACTTTTTCATTCAGGTTATTCTTGAAATGTTCTTCAAGCTGCAACAGACAACAAAGGTTAACATTTACCAGACATTCAACAAACCTGGGTAGAAGCTAGACTTCAGCTCACCAGCACAAAGGTTGGCTGACCTACCTTGCCAAATACAGCCTTCCTTGTTTCGTTTTTATCACAGTACAGAGGCTCCTCTGAAGAACAGAGCATCGACAGGCTGATTTCCACTGGATCTTCAACTGCAGGACAAATGGAGACGGTGAGAAGCAGAAGCAGGAAACCGAACACAAAGACAGACTCTCATTCATGCCAACAATTTGCATGAGTGTACAGTTTGCAAATGCCGCGCTGTCAGTGTTTGGCCACCAAGTTCACCAGTCACAAGCACTCAGCCAAACACGTCATTGCTCTTTTAGTGTTCCTGACCATGACGCCATATTGTAAAGAGTCGGAGGAACGTGGATTAAATAAAAGAAAAAGGACAACATAAAGTTCACAGTATTGCCAAGAGTACTGGATGCCTCCTAATAATTTATTTTATGTGTTTCAACCACTTCCATGACCTCAGGAGTATAAATCCCAGCAGCTGGACAGGTAGACTGAGAAACTCAGTGAATTTGTTGGTGGCGTTAAAGCAAAGTGGAAGCAACTGGGAATGAGAGCCATTAAAAAAAAATCTGTCAGTTGAAGCACAAAGCAAGCAGAGGTTAGTTGGTTTTTAGATTAGTTTAGCAACAGTGTGGGTTTCCAGGACGGCTGCAACATCACTCTGGAGACCTACAGAATCTCATCCTTGCATTTGTCTTTAGTTGCATTGATATCTTCACAGGTCTGCCGAAAAAAAAAAAAATCAATCAATCTGCTGTTCGTGTTCTGACTAAAACTAGGAGGATAGAGCAGATACTCTATACTGACCCCATTCTAACGTCCCTACGTTGGCTCCCTGTAGCTCAGAGAATAGACTTTAAAATACTTTATAGCTTATAAATCACTGAACAGTTCAGCACCACAACACATGAAACATCTGCTGTTATATCAGCTTTCCTGACTCCTTTGCTCTGCATCCCCAGTACCAAACATGGAGAAGCATCTTCAGCTTCCCGGCAGCACAAACCTGGAACAAACGTCCAGAAAACTGCAAAACAGCCGAAACACTTGGTTTCTTTAAAATAAGGCTAAAACCCCTTGGATTACTAATAACTGGAACCCTGATCAACATATCTGATGTGTTTATGACGATGGCATTTGACAAAATGTCATATTTACTGCTTGTTTTGTGATGGCTGGAAAGGAAGGACTGATATAATGAATCCTAAGGATCAATAATGAGGGAATACTTTTGGCAATATAATACATCTCATGTAGATTAACACCATCGGAGGGCTGGGACTTTAACTAATCAGTCCATCCTGATTAGTGGTAACAGGTCCAAAAGGAAAACCCAGATATGACCCTCGTCTACCATCCTTCAGGCTGACAGTCATGTTGTTCTTTGGATTCATCAATCATAGAAAATCTGAAAATACCTTGAAGTTAAAACGTGACAAAAGCTGAGCGAGTCCATGCGGTTCATCAAGGCACTGCATATTTTCTCACCTGTTGTCCCTTTGCAGCTTGTTGACGTACTCTTCTTACCATCACTCAGAGTGTACACATTAAAGTCGTATGTGCTTCCTGACTTCAAGCCAGTGAATCTGCATATGGTGATGTCTTGAACTTCTGTGTGGTTGATGAAGTTGTCCCAGAATGTAGAGTTGAGGGTGCAGTTATAGGTATTTGCTGATGAGTTATGTGGGGGATTCCACTCAAAGGTGAGGGAATATTTTGTTCTGCTGCGTTCTTTAGCTCCAGTGGGAGGCGACGGCACTGAAGGCAGAAAGAAAAGGTTACTTACATCCCTTTAAAAACATGTTAGAACAAAATGTAGAGCCGTTTTCTGAGCATGCAGTCTGTGTTTAGTAATGATCGAATCAAATCAAACTCACAGGTGAAAATGGAGCTTTTAGTTTCATTGCTCTCCAGATCATTCAGAACTGCAAAGACCTTCACTTCGTACTTGGTGGCAGTTTTCAGGTTATAAAATGACACTTTTTTATCCAATGTGTTTTTTAATTCCTCCTGTTTGCCATTCAAGAAAAGCTTGGCTATGAAGTTTACAGGACTTCCAGGATTTGGGGTGAAGTCCCAGATGGCGTTAATGGTGGTGGCATCTGCTGTCAAGTTCAACCCTGAGACCGATCGTGGAGCTGTTTATAAGTGAAGAAGTCAAGTTAATGCAACAGAATTTGCCGTAAAGAGTCTCTAAATAAATTAATCAGTTACCGGTGTGTGCAGTGATGTTTACGGTTTTTCCCTTGGGGCCACAAATGCCCAAGACTTTCACAGAAAAAGAAAACTTTGTGCTGTCTTGCAGTTTGGACACCGTCACATTATATGGTTTGTCCGAAAGTTTTCCTGGATGTGTCACGTCAACGTCCAGCTCCCTGTGACCAGGCAACACACATAAGAGTCAAAGACTGTCCTGAAACAACGAGCTCACAGATATTAATCGTTGTGCTCCTTTTGTGTTGAAAAGCACAACGGACAAGAACATGAAAGCAGCAATTTGTAGAGTTTGGTGAACAGAGAAATAAACTTGATATAGGAACATAATGGGGACGAACCCGCTTTCATTCCTGGCCACCACTTCAAAGTTTGTGTAATTTCCCTTCGGGGGATCCCACTGGAGAGTTAAGCTTGTGTCCTTGTTTTCTAAAGCTCTCAGGTTGGACACTTCGCCGGGCCCTGAAAGAGAGACAGCGGCCTGTTATGAAACGGACAAAGATTGTCTTTGTGTTCGCCAAAGACGAAACCAAATAGAAGCAGGCGGGCGACATGGTCCGCATGAAATGTGGACAGAATTTGCCTTTTCAGATTTGAATGTCAGATAGCGTCTGAAGGAAACGAGGAGCTGGAACGTTCTTGCTCATTTCCCCCTCGGAACAGTGCGGCTGTAAACTCACGGGTGCAATTTGAGATGCTGATGTTCTGACTCCACATGGACCTGTCGTCGACTCCTGTGGTGAAAATGAAAGTGTACGGCGTTCCCTGCGTCAAGCCGTCAAACACCAGGTCTTCTTTCGTCACAGACTTGTTGTGCTTTTCATCTCCGAAAGCTGACAAAGCGAGAACTTGGAAGAAGCCATAGTTCCCGTCGGGTTTCTTCCAGCTCAGACTGACGGTGGTTTCTGTGAAATTGGTCACACTGAGGTTCTTGACCTCTCCAGGTACTGGAAGGAGAAAACAGTTTAGTTTTTTTGGGTTTTTTTTCCAGGTTGTCTTTTGTTTTAGTCACGTTACAGGTGCATCAGCTGAACTCTGAGGCGCCTCGTCTTTGCTTTGCAGAACAGTGACAGTGTACACCGCAGTGGCTTTACAACATGTAGGAGTGGCAGCAAAATAAAAACAGACATGTTTTGCTTCATTAAGAGGAGACAAATCCACATTATGTGCCTAAAAGGTGGCTTTAAAATATTAAAATAATTATTGTTTATTTTTCTGCATAAACTAAACTCCTAAATGACATCACCATCTGTTTTTTTTTCTGTTTACTCAGGGTATCCTAGCCTCATACTAGTTATTTGATGATCTGAAACAATTTGTACTCAAGATCCAGACTCGACAACTTATCTATTAATCACAATAATCAACAACTTACTGGTGTAGAAGGAGCCGTTGAGTGGATTGAGGTCCCTTCCACACTTCACTGCAAACACTGTGATCTTGTAGCCGGTTCCTGGGGTGAGCTTGTCGAGTGTGTAGTTCAAATTATGCATGTCCTTGGTGATGTTCCAGGAATCTTGCAGGGAAAACGCCTCGAAGCGATAGTGGCTGATGTCACCGGGCCCCTGATCCCACTGCAGAGCTGCGGACGAGGATGTGATGTTGGAGACGGTGACGGCCCCCATGAAGCGGTCTGAGGGCAAGAACAGGGTGAACTGAAACCGGTAGATTTAGGGAAAACATGTGGAACGGTAACTGGAAAACATGGAGACCACAGCTCTAAAGTGGAAGTTCGTTTGAGTTCAAACAAAATCTTGAACTAGTTGAACCCAAAGTAGGGGCTCCACTAATGGAGAAATTCTTTCACAAAGAAGACCTGACAGATAGATGGACATGTTCTCACTTTGCTTACTGGTCAACAAACTGGTCAACAAACCAGTTTGTTTGGGCCGTTTCTTGCGTCTACTCAATTACTTTATCAATTTCTTCTTCATCGGTTACCAGTCAATCTTCTGGTGAAACACCAGAAGATTTTACCAGTAAAATACAGAAGAATTTTCTTTATTCTGCCAACATTGGTAACTGCTGTGGCCTCCAGTTTTCCCAGTAACTGCTGAAGCTGTTGTACCTTCATAGCAAATGAAAGGCAGCTCTTCAAAGCACTCTCTCTCAACCCAAGGCCCAAAGGCCAGTATGACCACGCACGAATTCTCGATGTAGTTTTTATTATTCTCTGGTATGACGGGAGGCAGCATGGGCGATCGGTCGCACGTTGAAAGTATCGGCCTCTGCGGTGTGGTCGTCCACGGCGAATCTGTGGTGTGATCTACGTGAGCTGTGGTGGGTCCCCACGCCTGGGTGACTTTGGCTCCTCTTAAGTTGGCCCCTTCTGTGAAGTTGGCCCCTTCTGTGGCGTTCATCAACATGTCCTCCTCGGTGTCAACGTCATAAAAACTGGTAGAGTCGGTCATGTTTTCATAGACGTCGGTCACTGTGATGTTCGGTTCTGTTGAGTTTCTGCTGGAGCTTTCAGGGTCAGCAGAGACCGTTATCGACCCGGTGGTGGTGGGCGTGGGGGTCGTGGTCGTCCTGGGGGGTGCCGGGCAGGTGCAGGAGCAGCTGCAGCAGTCTATTTTTGGCAGCGGGGATTTAAACAATGGGAAGCCGGGGTACCAGTTCTGGAAGACGAGTGGGTCCCCGTTGGCCCACAGTGTCCAGGGCGTCCCGAAGCTTTTGGACGAGGTGTTGGTGGAGTTGGTGGAGTTGTAGTCGTCGTAGTCCGAGTCGTAGTCATAGTCGTCGGTTTCGTTGTAGGTGTCATTGTAGTTTATGTACTTGCGAAGGCCAATCCAGTGGGTGGAGTTGATTATTCTGGCGATGACGTGGACGTTTTGTGGAGTGAGAGTCACCATCTCTTTAAAGCAGACCTGGGCAGACATGGAAGACATCACTAACTGTGTTCTCAATAACATTGAAGGCTAAAGATTGCATCCCAAGAATGGAGTCCAAGTGAGACTTTGCATCCTACAGAGACTGTTGATGGCGACAAAAACCATAGCATCTCGGCAAACAACGAATAAGCCCTAGTAAATTCAAATGTTTGCACTAAACTCTTGTTTAAAATGAAAATATAGGAGATGCTCTTTGGCTGTATTGAGGTTGAGTTGATAACTGAGTTACATGTGGGCTCCAGTCGAATTTAAATGCAAATCATATGCAATAATTTTCAAAGAATGCGTGACAGCCAGGGAGCATAAAAAAATAAATTTAAAAAATACATTAAAAGGATGTTTTTTTAAAGGGCAGTTACATCTAAATGTATTAACATGAACCCGCTGAAGGTTAACGACAAACCAATCAGGATTTTGGCAAATGTCTGAAGTTTTAAAATTAAAATTCAAGTCTTCTCAAACTTCATTTCCCTGAACTGATGATGTTTTATACGTTAAAGCAGAAACATTTTCCTATTTGCTTACCGAAGCTTCTTCTGTCAGCTTATAGGTTGTAACGGATGTCTGACCTTAAAGCCTCTTTCATAAAAATGTTCCCGTCTTAAACCCGTAATGAAGTCCGGTGTGGTGAAGCTCTGAGCAATGAGGAAGTAAAGGTTTGTCTTTTAAAGAGTGCATGTTAGTATCTTTATTTTTATCTTTTAAAAAAAACAAAAAAAAACATCTGTATTTTGCACACATTGCTTTAAAAATTCTTGAAGAAAAGACATTTGTTTTCTCAAGTACAAAATTAGAAAGATCTGCTTTCCAATTCTGACATTAAAGTAAAAACAACCTCAGGACAACTATTAGTAAGCCTGTCACTGTTAGCAATAAATCAATTAATCAAATAATTTCCATGATTGTTTTTCCTCTTTTTCTACCGAACACTGAATGAAGACAGGTGTCAGTCTGCTGCATTGGTCTCAACTGGCTCCGTTTTGAAGGATCATTTTTGTTTTTAAACATTCAATTCAGTTTTATTTTGGATATTTAAAATGTCTTCCAGTTCCAGAGTTAAATATCTGCTAGAAGTGAAAGCTTGATCATCTTTGTGAGTCAAGATGAGTGACCTCATCTTTACTTGTGGTTACATAACTTGAAATTAGTCCCAAAGCAACATTATTGATCACAATTTTTCACCCAGAAAAACTAGTTTTTGTATTCATATGGTGCTGGATTTAAACACAAAACCTTTTAATTGCCCTGATCATCTGTTCCCTTTCGGTGCGTCCAGCTGGACGCTTCAGAAAGTTTCTGGAGGGGATCTCAGGTGCGTTCGTACCTGGCAGTGGTTCCTGGCGTCAGCCCAGCTGGCGTTGTGTGGACTAATGAAGTACTGTCTCTCTGCAGCCGTGTACATCAGCAGAAGACCTGAGACAAAAGCCTGATTTAGTCATGGACAGATGTTTACATGACCAGGAAAAATCTATTTGTTACTCAAGAATTATTTTAGATTTTAAATGTCCATACTGAATTCAAGCTGAAAGGTGAACAACAGATAATTCCAAGATTGAAATACGTCACTTCAAAATGCAACAAATCTTAATAAAAACTATTTTTGAAGCAGAAAATGAGAAATAAACCAGTTTTAACTCCCTGGTTCACTTACAGGCTGCTAGAATCATAATCGGCAGATTAATCATAATGAAAAGCCTAAAAACAAATGGCACTCACCCAAACAAACAGAAATACACAGTTTATGTAGGAGCGTCAAGTTCCCCATGGTGGCGTCTCGTTGAATTTAGACCAAAACACACTAGTACATTAAAAAATGATATAAATGCATAGAAAGAAAGGAAAAAAAAGCACCAAATGCTGCTGATTTGCCTCGGTTCGCTGTTTCTCCTCACTCAGAACAAAGACGAATGAGTGATAAAACAAAATGGCTAACAGGTAAACATCACTCATGACGTTCATCACAAGGCTCCATTCACCTAAAATACACCATTAGATGCAGCTGCTTTGCATCCATATTCCAAACACGCAAATTATTCAAATATCTGCATGGACAGAACACAAGAAGCCATTGAGACGGAATATGTTTATTTCAGCTCAAAGCTCGAGTATAAAACATTAAGTCAGTACAAAATACAAGAAAATGAAAGAATACAAAAGGAAACCGAAGCCTTTCGCTAAACTACAACGTTACAGAAATGCCTGTAAATGTCCTCTGGCAGTGTTTACGTTCAGAGTGGTCATTTAGTCAGTGATTGGTCACATCAAGCCAAAGTGCCTTAAAGTGGTTCAACTGGTTCAAAGGTGGAAACAATAATCAACTTTACTGCTGTAAGGATGCGACTCAATGCACATTTTGAATACAGTAGGTGACAGGAAAACTGAGTCAGTTATTCAAGGTCAAATTAGCTTTCAAAACAGGGCCACAGCTTTTTGGTAAAGTTCATTCAGCTTTATATAAAAAGGCTCAAGTGTTGGGGGTGATCCAGTCAGCCCCTCTTCTACCAATACTGCTTAAAAAAAAAAAAAAAAAAAAAATGTTCCCAAAAATAAACCCCCAATGCTAATCCACTGAAATCATCTAATATTTAAACTAAGGAAATACAAAGATACAGCTTAGTAAGTTAAAAAAATCCTTTTAACACCATGAACTGGAGAGCTTTATTTGGCTCGAAACTGGCCAATACTTAATTCAACATTATTAACGGTAACTAAGCAATTACTTTACATGATGACAAATCAATTGCAAAAATATAGAAAAAAAAGGACAAATTACTACATTTATTGGAAACATAATGCCATTACAAATGTAAATGAATAATGGAGAATATAAAAATAGAAATCAGAAGAAATGAAAGAGTAAACTAGTCGCTGTCGCTTCCCCCCTTCAGCAGCCTCTTCCCACTGGAGGGCGCAGGAATCTCCGGTTTTACCTTGGGCCTACAGGGAAAAGAAAGGACATTTAATTTAACACTGATTAAGATATCTGCTTCTCATCTTCATGCAATAGTTATTTACATCAAGGATACCCCAGTCCTCTTAACTCTCCAGTACCTCCTCTAGTGAGTTGATTCAAATGGTGGAGAAAGAGAAGAATCTAAAAACTGCAGGATAGTTTAGAGCTTTAGGACTGGAAACCTGATCTACAGAGTTCAGGTTATTCCTGACACATTTCAGCACATCAGCCTCTAGTTTCTGTTTTAGGAACATCGACTAAATATACAGGTTTCCATTTCTAAACTTCCCAACACAAATGTAGAGATTTTTTCAGCATTTTTCATAATATTCTAGATATTCAAGACAAATAATTGGAAAGGTTACTTTCTGAGTAACTCAGTTTGTGTCCTTTTTAAACAAAAACTAACTTTAATTTATCCATTTATGTTAAACGATTCTGTGTGGTGCTCGTTTTGCCTCTTTTCTCAACTGTGACTGAAATCCTGACCTGAAGGAAAAATCTCATAAGCTTCATCGTAACTGATGTAACCAAAGTCCAAAGGTGGTTTCAGGGTGTAATCGACGGGACTTTCCTTACCCCATTTTATCCATCAGTTCCAGGCCATCGTTGAGGTTCTTGAACCAGAGATAACGATTACGGCCCCGAATCTGGAACAAAGTTAGAAGGTGAAAAGGTCACTTTAACCATCCTGATACTGTGATGTCATCCAGTTGCAGAAACAGGCCTTACTGAGAGAGTGTAAATCTCCTTGTCATCATCCTCTCCACTGGAGGCAGACTTGGACTTTTTAGCAGTGGAAGTATTTGGAGCAGGAGTGCTCTCTTAAATGAAGAATACTCATAAGTGACAGAGCAAAACTGTAACCTGCTATCCATACATGTAAAAACAACTTAAAAGCGTACTTCTTTTCTTTGTCTGCTTGGTCCCGTTTTTCTCCAGGTTTTCTTCCTCCGTCCTGCGGTCCCTGCCTGGACAGGCACAGACACGGACCTCGAAGCACCGCCTGCCCAAAACCTCCCCCCTAACGTCGAACAAGACCAAGAGGAAAAAGGCTTTAAAAAACTAAAAAATGCATCCAAAGCTGAAAGAGAAATGTGAATTCAATTCATCAGCTTTGATAACACAAGTCCCAAACCACTACAACTAACATTTTTAGTGCAGACGAAGACGACGACTCACTCTGTGGTCTCCAGGGTCAGGATGGTGAGGATGGGCCTCCGGTTCATGCCTCCCATGCAGGAGCTGTTGCACATGAAGCTCAGCAGGATGGTGGTCGTCTCAGATCCCAGCTGAAACAAGAAAACCGTACGTATGGAAACGTCCTGGACTCTTCAGACAGACAACATTATATGTTGAGAAACACTGATTTACTAAATGACTAATTGTAGCATCGCAATTTTCCTTTACTTACATGGATCAAAGTTCTCTCATATAGTCAAATATTCCTACATGCACTGATGTTGAACTGAATCTGTTTCTGAAGCTTTGATATTCTACATTTAAAAATAAAAATCCTGCCTGTTTAATTAAAAGCTTAAAACTTTCTAAATAATTTATTAATGTTGGCTCTTTTTCTGAGGTCCTGGACAAATTGGATTTAGTCAATTTTCCAGAGGATTGTAAATAACTAAAATCCATTTTTCAGTTTAGACATCTGATTATGACTTCTAAATTACAATTATTTTAGACATTTAATAAAATCTCCCATTAAAGTAATGCACAAAGTGTGGAGTGGTTCTCTCGGGGATACCTGTGGGCGTTCGTAAGGCACGGTCACGCTCTGCCTTTTGGTGAACGGATCCTCAAAGTACTGGGCCAGCTGGCTGCCCTCCACTCGGATCAGATGGCTCTTGTTGTCGGACGCTGAGAAGAAGATTGCAGGTAAAAAGCTGAATATTTTCACCTGTGCATCACAAAACAAATACAACTCTTTAAAGGGGATAAAAAGCTCCTTACAGTCTTCACTTTGGTGGTGTGGGCACCTCTTGACGACTTCTGCCACATGCTCAGTCTTTTTATACACGGCCGTTGCTCTGATGATGGCGTCCGCCGGAGGTTCCTCCTTCACCAAAATCCCAATCGGTGTGGTTTTAGCCAGCTGGCAGAATAGTTTCCCAAGCTTTTCAGAGAACTGGAGAGACAGACACAGGCATTCCCATCAGTGGTGCTGCTTACTAAAAACTTTACAATCTTAGCAAATTCTACCCAAAACTGTTCACTAATGTTTGGTTCCAAAGACAATCAGAGAATCGTTCCACCTCTCTCACCAAAAGATAAATCAAACTTCTACCTCATCTACTTTTAAGCCTTTCTGTTCTGAGGGACGCGTCTGCAGGAACATGTACCGTCATGTCAGAGCTGTGCATGGCAGCCGAGCTGCTCCTCTCAGCTCAGAGTAGCAGAGTAGCGGTCCCAGGGGGCGGGAGGTCCGGTCCAGGCCACCCTAACTTCAGCCGAACCGACCAACCGTGAGTCAGAACATGAGTGAGTCAGCGAGGAAACACGAACGCCATTGGTTCTTTCGGGGCAGCGACGACCTCCGACCCTTAAACTTTAGCGAATCGCCACAATGAACGAGACCCTGCCTGAATGCCACCGCAAGAGATTCGAAAGAATGAACTTGTGATGCGGAATCAAGGTAAGAATTTTTCTTCGCTGTTAATTTACAAAGTTTTAAAAGGTTTGTGGCACTAGATAAAAAATGCTTTAAATTAAAGCTTTTTTCCTGACAGGTGAATTTTTATTTACTAAATTAAAACGGGGTAATTTAAGCTTTGAAGACATTTTGTGGAGGGAAGGAACGATACACAGAAATGTGGTGCTATGGAAAAGCTCCTTTGTTTCAGATTTGAGGCTCATTTCTGCTCCTCATCTTTAGTTACAGGAAAAACAAAACAAAACAAAACAGTTTTTCAGCAGACATTGTCTTTTATCACAAATTTAGTCAAACTTGGTTAATATTTTTAGGTTACAAACATTATGGCGGGTTTGTACAGTTAAGATTCAAAGAGATTAAAATGTGGAAAAGATATGATGAGCAACTTACAGTGGAGGTGACGCTCTTAGCAGTGCCGGCGTCATTAAATGACAAGCTGAACCCATGTTCTCCAGCATAATTTGAAACAGCAGGAACCATTGGTGCAGCCTGAAGAAATTTGGTCTCTGGTATAGCCTCAGGATTCTCCCAAAACACCATATTTGGGTCCTTTTAAAAACCAAAATGAAAAACATAATTACCACAAAGAAAGGCTGAATCAAACTATATCCTCTTCATTTAGTTTGATAAGTTTAATCTTTACTTTCTTCGCATGCTTACCAATGAGGCTGGGCCCAGAGTGCCACTGTCCGTGGACAAAACCCTGAAAAAGCAAACGTACAAAGATTAGTTCAACTGTAATCAAGTAAACATCCTGTTAAATTGCAATGTAGCGTGAAAATGATATTTACACGTTGTTCCACAAGTCGTGGAAGGTGTCCTGACTCAGAGGGAGGCTGTAGTCCATGTCCTCCATTCTCTCTTTCACTGTGACGGCAAAGGAGGAGATAAAGAGGAAGACACTTAATCTGATAATGAGGTGTGCAGCGCTCCAATCAAAATGACAAGTCTATACTTTACCAGTTTTGTTACAGTTTCACAGTAATGCTAAAAGCAATATTCACATTTAAAAAAAGAAAAAAAAATCTAACATTAAATATTTTAACAGTGTTGTATAAAAATCTGGTTCACACAAAAGTTGGGAGCAGTTAAATGGCAATATATGCATTTATCATTTCCACTAACAAACATTTTAAATAATTATTCTAATTAACAGTAAAGACTGTAATTATAGCTAAAATTTAAAAAGGGACAAATTGAAGCAACTCTGCACTCGACAAGAGCCACCTAGTTATTGATCTGTTTCAAGTGCACCTTGATAATAATAATAATAAAAAAGACGTAGTACTTTTCAGTTTTGTAAACAAAAAACAGAAAGATTGTTTGAAAGAGTGCTGGTAAGAATAAAACACTTCGACAGTTCGGCTTTAGCCCTAATTTATTCCCAATCACAAAGAGTTCAAAATAGGTAGGCCTCAAAGCCGCAACAATGAAGCTAACTAAACCGCAACTAAACGTCTCTAAATGTCATTTTTCATTCCCACAATTCAGTTTTCAATGAAACCTACAGCTCTCGGCAGCATAAAAACATGACCCATTGCACATCTTTTTAAAAAGACTGAGGTTAGCTTTCCTTTAATGAGGCTAGCACAGGAAGTCGATAAAACGACAGTTTACACACTCAAAATAATCTGTAGGCTAAAGAACAATATCCATGTAAAGATCAAATAGACGCTTACTGCACACAACATTCAGCAGAGTCTACATTTCGTTTTACATTTATCGCAGTATTCGTGTTAGCATGCGGGGCTAGCTACGTTTGCTAGACGACTTTTCCGACAGCTAGCTTAAACTGCTACAAAACTTCCCAACGGCCAAATACGAAGTCGGGCTAAAACGAACTGTCATGTTGCGAGCAGATAGTCTTTACCACACAGCCGCGGTGCGACCACTGCTCAGAGATGTTGACTCAATGTCTTTCTCAGGGGAAAGCCTTCAATCCACCCAGACAACTTCCAAAATATTTTGAACGGACTGAAGCACGCTGTCGGGGAATCCCACATTAAAAAAAACAAAGGAGGATAGGTGACAGTTGAGCTTCGAGTACGATCCAATCAGAGCGGAGCAACCGCTCTGATTGGACCAATTAGAGGCGACTGCTGTGCGCAGGGCCAACTGACGTGACTACCTAAAGCCAAAGCGTTCCAAGATGTTTTTCATCCTGGTACCGAAGACACAGCAGTACCGGACGCTTTAAATCTCTAAATCAGTGTCTCCCCAACGCTGGTCCTCAAGGCACACGAACATGCACGTTTCAAAACGTCCCATTCAGATGATTGCATGTCAGCTATCTATTGAAATGATGTGTGTTGAAGTAGGGAAAGGCATTAAACTTGCAGACCACTGTCCCCCTGACGTTTATGCGTCTCTGCAGGAGCACACTTCTGGAACACACTTCCCCAGAACATGAACTCATGTTCTGGAGAATTATGATTCATTTCATTCAGCTGTGTTGGATCATGAAATCCTGTTTGTTTTCAATAAAATCTTGATTAAAACTCAGCCCACAACTAAGATAAAGCAACATAATTTCATCATTTATGTTGCATTATAATTCCACCTGGGATAAAAAAATAAATAACTATTTAAATGACTCATTTCAAGAAAATTGTGACATTTAAGGCTGTAACAAGTATGTTTGGACCTCACTATGGGGTCTGACTGTCAGACTTGTTTACAGTCAAATAGATACGAAAAGAAACGTGTAAAATGACATTTGTGTGAAATTCTGCAAAAACTTAGCAAACATAATTCCAAAATGATGCTTGATGCAGTGGGATGTTTTGTGGTTTTCAGTCACAAAAACTAAAAATTAATGTTGTACATTTAATTTGTGGGGAAAGCAGGTTTTCAAATCCTCCCTCTCAAGAAGTTTTGGAAAAAAAATAATAAAATCAGGCGTTATTGAGCACATGGTCAGCAAAATACCCCAGTTGACGTCTCCTTCTTGCATGCAGCTGCTTATTGAAATCTTTTCATTTTCTGTTTATGCAGGCGGGATGATGTCACCTCCCATCAATTACCTCTTCAGCTGTAAGAAGGAACTTCAGCAGCTCCGAAGCTGCAGTTGCACAGAGCCGTCTGTGTGACGCTGCTGGTGTCGGGTCACCAAAGGTGGAGTCACGCCCACAGAGTTCTGTCCCAGTCTTGGATCGTGTCCATCTCTGTGAATGCAAAGCGTTGATGAGTTCCACTTCGGGGTGACAGCTGGATGTTTGACCTTAGTGAAAGTGCTGATGGAGCCACAGAGTTGTCTCTGAATCCGTTCCAGAACAGACACTCATAGATACAATAGTCGTGGCGAACAGACCATTAGTTTTATTTTTATAACGCTGTTGTATAAGGCTGTAATAATCCCTTCCCAAGTGTCATTTAATACTTTAGTCCTCATTTACCACCCCGTAACACTGAGGCTCTGAAAGACACCCAGATTTTTATTTGCTAACCGCCACGTCAGAATTTTGATAATATTCAATGCTGTTTTGAAACTTCATAACCCATGATGAAAATATGCTTTTATTAAAACTGAACCTTTTATTTCTGCTTCCTCCTGCAGAACTTTATGTACTTCTGGTTGTGCCTGGTTTCCTCCTGCAAAACCAGAGCAAATGTTATTTGGGTGTTTACTGTGTATTAGGGATGCAAAATAAATCAATTGAAAAAAATCATATTTATCAATTTTAGAAGGAATGACGAAAACCCAATTTTTAATCGTTAATAAAAACGTATTACCTTTAGAAATATTGTTTTCATTTTTTCCCCCTTTAAATAAACATTTCTATAATATATTTAAAGAAAAATCAACATACTGAACAGAATGTAGCCGTAAGCCGTGTAACCGCCAGGTCAGGCAGGGCCTCCCAGACTCGAATCAGTCGGTCTGTTGTGACCCGACTCAGAAACTCAACACAAAAAGAAGAAATAACATGTGCAAAACTTTTAAAAACATTGAAAATTAGTGTGTGAGTGTTGCACCTTATATACCCAAAGAAACAAGAAGAAAGAACAGACTCTAGTCAGATTTCAAACACCTGAGGGCCTCTCCAGCTGTTTCGTATCACTATCAGGAGAGCTGCACAGCAAAAGGAAGATTCCCAACTTAACCACAAGGAGGGGCTGTGACACATCCTCTCCAGTAACCAACCGTGACGTGTGTCTGATCTTTGACCTGACACACAAAATTGAACTGTGTCCAACATTCAAAATCTGAGCCAGTCTGTCTCCCTCAGAACAAATGAAGTTAGTTAGCAATGGTTCGGGACAAGATCCCTTCTAACAACTGGCAGCGACTGAAAGGTCAGTGTCACAGTCCACAATTAGGCCGGTTCGACCGCGATGAGATCCTGATCCAACAAGGACTCCTGAAAATTAGCACCTGATGGATCAACAAATGCAGTTAATCAGTCAAATTTCCAGTCAAAAGAGATAAAAATATAGTTATTTTTCAAAAGCTCCATTCATGCTTTTCCTTTTAAGGTTTGCGTTTAATTTATGAACCTCCACGTCAGAATTGTGACTTTTATAAACATTTCATAACCCATGCTGAAAATATGCTTTTATTAAAACTAAATCTTAAAACAACTTCTAGCTTGTGGAATTGCTTCATTTACAGTCATCCCACCTTGAAAAAGACATTTCTATGGTATTCATGCATATGGTAAGGAGGAACCTCTTTATATTTCTAGCAGTGGGACATGTCAGAATGTCAGCACCTGCCTTCCATCACATGACTTGAAGTACTGTACCATCATTTTGAACCAGCTGACCCCCCAACAGAAAACTCTGTCTCACACACACACATGCACACACACACACCTTATATATAGGTCATGACGAACAGGAACATTATTTACACATGCCGTTTCTGTGCATCACTGCACAGTGGTCACATGGCTCATGTTTATGGTGGTGTGATGTTCTTGGCCGGTATAAAAACCCCGGCTGGCCTCACCAGTTCCTGCCTCCAGTTAAAACGAGCAGAGCGACTGTTTCCAGTGGAAACGTATCCCCTTATCAAAGTCTTCTTGTTCTTGGCCGACTCTGTATGAATTCATATGATCTCCTCTGGAATACTAGCCGGTCTCGTTCTCCTCCCGGCTGCACGCATAAGCCTTCAAAGTATGCCGGCCGGAGGCTCTTCGCCACACTGCTGATGGTGTAAAGTTTCTCTGCATTTAGTCGGAGTCACACATGACTCGGCTTGGCTTTTAAGTGGAAGGGTGGGGGTCAGGTTGTTTCACAAATCTGGAAAAGCAAGCTCCAAGGAGACAGCGGCGTGCAGTGAATAGATGGATCTATGTTGGTGGGGGTGTGTGTCTGCCTGTAAAGACTTTTGGCAAATGTCCTGCACCCATCCGAGCCTTCCGAAGCGCACACACCCCTTCACTCCCAAAGTTCTGTCCAACCACACCCTCGCTCCTAATTCAGGTGCCACGACCCAGATTTAGAGTGCACCTGTTGCCTGCTGGGAGAGGATTGAGCTTTGTTGTACATGACAGACAGGGATCAGCAGTGAAGGGGGCGCTGTAGAGAGGGGTGTGGGGTACGTGACCTCTTTGGCATGTGATCTGAAATAGAAAGAGATTTAAGCCTGTCGGGATGAAAGACAATAGCAGAGACGAGCAGACAAGAAACGTTGAAGAGACAGAACTATAACTCAGCAGATTTTGGTATTTTTATCTCCAAGAATCAAATGTATGATTTAGAAGAGGGAGAAATGCATAAAATACCCCAGATGCTATTCAACAAAAATAACTTATATTTGAAACACCATTAAAAACTCAATCCAGGAGGGTTGACCTCCTGTACAGTGACTCGTAGTTCACGTTGGACGCCAACCTCTCACATTCGGGGGAACAAACTGCATAAAAACAGACTGACGCTGTTCAACAGATCCGATTCACTATCAAACACCACCACAGTCTTTATATTATGATTCATGACATCCATCCTCACAAGACCTCAGTGTAGGGGCCACCCACTCACATCAGTCTAAGTTTGACTCAGAGGAAGTCATTGTTTTGTTAAGCATGGAAACTGGTGACATTCAGAGGGCAACGGGGAGTACGACGGGGATGTAAAAGGAAAATAAAACATCATTTTAGATTCTTTTAAAAGAAAAATCCAAGAAGTGCCGCTCGCTTTGAAATTCAAATACTCCGACGTTCTTAAATAAAATAGGACTCCTTAAACCGATTGTGTGTGATTTTTCCTCAGAATAAACTCTCCTGTCCTGTAAAAGCTGCAGAGTTTTTTGCTGAAGAGCAGTTCACCTGGAAGTGGCCCCCCCAATGAGATTCTACTCAGGACCTCATGTGACCTTGGGCCGGCTCTAAGACCCCCTGCAGCCAATGATAGTTAAGGTCAAGACAGCTTCCTGCTCGACCTCTTTAGAGCAGCGTCCCCTCTCTCTCCCTGTCTCACCCCCCCCCCCCCCCCCTCCACCTCCTGCGTTTACGAAAGAGAATGCCCGTTTGCGCACGGCGGTCACTCTATCCGAGCTGGACGGACAACACAAACTTTGTACGGACGACAGATTTCTACCCTACTAGGGTTTTCTCCTTTGGATTAAATTTATTCGCTCCGTTTATATATATATATATAATTTTTTTTTGTTTTCGCTGCTGATTGCGCGGGTTTGAGTCGACGCTCGTCTCCATTTGGCACCAGACGCATCTGTCACCACCTGCAACCGAGTGCCTAAAGCTGTCAAAGTCATGCCGGCCGGGTTTCAGCAGCTCGGAGGGGAGGTGAGCCTGATTTCTTCTCGTTCCTCTTGCTTCTAAGCGACAATAACGATGGGTGCGTTGCAGGGAAAGCGTTTATTTTTAACCCAGCGAGTTGCGCATTTCAACCGGAACATTTTACGCACGTATGTTTCGGATGTGGCCCAATCAAATTCACTCTGAGATACCTTACAATTTGAGTTTCGTCGACTAAAAATTGAGAATAAGTCGACATCTCATAATATTTGAAAAAAGTCTAATCCTATATTTGTTTTTTTTTTTGTGTGTGTGTGTGTGTTTTTTTTTTTTTTTTGCTTCACTTTAATGGCGACTTTGAGCACTCGATCTGTTCTGGAAGACTTTTCTGTCTTTAAAGAAAATATCTGACCTTGAAAAGTCAAACATGTGAGTTCATCGATCACAAATCTTTTTATAAAAATAATTCAGAGTATACATTTGGGGAGGAAGTTATTGTGGAGCAATTTTGGGTCATAAAACAGCCAACAGAAGTCAATTGTGAAGTTCTCCAAAGCATCAGCACCTATAAAAAGACTGAGTCTTAGGGAAAGTTTTTATAGGAATTATTTATAGGACCAGTAGGCAGTTGGTTCACCAGCAGATCAGAGGTACTTTAGTATCGTTATTATACAATCATAATTATTAATATGATGAGTAAGCCTTCTAGGATTCTGACATTGAACTTGTTGTATCCTGGCCACTGCTACTTAATGAACTCCAAGGCACTTAGTGGTGTTTGCTGTGATTTTCCACTCACACACGTTCACAAACACACATTCATCTGTTTTGGTCTCTAAATGCCAAACAGCTCATTTAGAGACTCAACACAGCAAGGTCAAGGCGCGGCGGCACAGGCTCAATCTGACTCCTTGGTAAATGATTAAGAGAATAGAGTGCGAGACAATCAGATGATTGAACCTGCAGATGAAACCTGAGATCACCGTTTCATCAATGCTCTGATGTTTTCTCTCGTGCAAGAATACAGTGAGGTGTAAATGATTGGTGGAGTGTCACCAGTGGCTGTTTTGCACTCTTTCTTTCACACCAGATCAAAATGTTACCATTTTTTTCAATGAGGTCGTGTTGTTCCGTCATGGCTCCGGAGTTTTCTGTTCGACCAACACCAACTTCTCAGAGTTTTGGAGAAGACGACACAAAAAGCACGAAAGACACCAGTGTCAGACATCTTAAATCTGTGTGCGTCGGTTGAACTCTCTCTGTGGGTTGCGGACCTCAAGTCCCCAAGGTCATCTCATCTGTCAGCGCTCAGACAGGTGCCCGGGGCCTGATGGGAAACCGGAGGGTAGTGAAAGTTCAGGCGCGTGGCCAGTATACTCGTGGACCACGCTGGAGGGATTGTCTCTGGTCAGGATCAAGATTATTTATAGTTAATGTTAGCTAAGTGTTGAAACGAATCCTAACTGTTTAATTAAAGCTCAGATCTCACCTCGACGCACTCCTGCATAAAGTACAGACAGAACGCGGTTCTGTCGTGTTGATCAGTCAGTGTGGCGGGTTTGTTTTGGACGTTGGCGGCCGTTCAGAACCTGTGAGCTGCTGCATTATCCAAAGTCACATCGGTTACTCTTCTTTAGCTGTGTGCAGGCCACAGTTTGGTAAAAGTGTTTTGTTTCTTTTCTTTATCCCAACTCTAGGGCTGCAACAATAAGAAATGTTTCTGGACGATGAATTGTTCCAGACGTTATTGCGATAAATGATTATATTGTTGTTTTGAGACCATTTTTAAGTTATTATAGTGGCATTGGCAAAATAATAAAGCAAGGACACGTTCTCAAAGATCCGTAAACTTTAAATTTTAATGAACTTTTAACACTGGACCTGGGAGATATGTTAAATATCCAAAATAAAATAATAAAACAACAAATAAAATAAATGTTGAAGTTTTTGGTAAGCAAAATTTCAAAATAAGGGCTGGTTGAGACCAAAGCACCAAACTGAAGACTTTTATCCTCCAGTTTGTTGGTAGAAAGACAGAAAAAAGAGATAATTGATAAATCATGCCAATAGAAATGATTGTTTTAATTCATTGATTGATTGATTATTGTGGCAGGCCTCCTCAACTCCCTACATCAGGTGTGTCAAACTCCTTTTCGTTTTGGGCCAAATCAAGATCATGAAGGCTCTTAAAGGGCCGGTTGTGCCAGAATGTGTTGATAAAACCTGTTCACAAACTGTTAATATGTCAATAAATTCTTAAAATTACATAATATTATTGAACATCTTTTCAGTCCCTTCAGGGACTAATAATAAGTGCGACTTTTTATTTACTCCCTCTATAAATCAAGCATGCTTCAAGACCGATGCTTGATAATGAAGAACAAAGTTGCTGAGTATTTGGTATCATTTGGACTCTATTCACATTGATAAACTGTGTCATGTTCATAGAAGCAGAGACTGCAACAGACAATGACACCAAGTGGTGCACTCTGGCAAAAGTTGCAATTTTTTCTATAAAATCTCTACAGTGTAAGATTGCACAATGTAATGGACTTTAAAACAGGATGGCAGTGATATGTATGGAAAACTATATTAACCAATCAAGCCCTGCTTTTTTGGTTCATCCAGTGGATAACAAATATATTTACAATTACAAATATAAACACACAAAGCACAAGGCCGTGTTTTTGCTTTTAATACTGCTTGCAGTACTTGTGCCAAAAATAATTTGCACAGACAACAAAACTTTGTAATCTAGTAATAAAGCAGTGAAGAGGCAACTTACAATATCAGATTAACTTTTTATGCATTTATCCATTTAAATTTTTTGTAGCGAAAGAAATTAAGTGGGTCTAATTTCTACAGCTAATAATAATAGCGTGGCTAAATGGATGTCTTTTTTGTGTTTTTTATTTTTATTTTTTTGCCCTGCAGACGGTGACAGGAACCCTCGCTCTATCAGTCTTCACTGCTGTCCTGGGATCGCTGACGTTCGGCTACAACATCGGCGTCATCAATGCACCACAGAAGGTAAACAGAATAAATCCTACTAACCAGAGGTGTGTGAGCGCCCAAATATTTAACCAAGTAAAGGTAGCACCAACTCACTTTAGCTCAAGCAAAAATAAAAAGTAGCCAAATAATAAGTCAATAAGTTTTTAAAAAGTGCTCCGTAAATGCTGAGTAACTGATCATGACATCTACTAAGTAAAGTTTATTTATAAAGTGTTTCTATAGACAAAAAGGCACAAAGTGCTGCACAACATAAATCTGAATAAGGCAGACAAAGTATAAAAGCAGTGACGTTACTTACACTCAAGTACAAGTATAGCAATACTTCATAACAATATCACTCAAGAAAAAGTTAAAGTAAAAGCAGGTTTTTGTTTTCAAAAACAGGTAAATGTAATTAGTTACTACTGTCTATTTTTTGGGTATGAATTATCTACAGTGCACTCAGTTCCTCTGGGACGTTTCATAACACATTGAGAAAAGATAATTAAAGTGATAAATGCGACTGTGTGTCTTTAATAGATTATTAATATATTATATCCACCAGCAGGTGGTTGTTTATAATCCCTCATGTTTCACATTGAAATGGCCCAAACAAGAATCAGAATTACAATCAGCAGAGTTAAGATGTATTTAAATCTTTCTGAAAACTTTAGACAATTAAAGGCTTCAAAAATCTCCCCAAACAATCCTAAATATACAGTCAGAGACACAGAAGGATGTTTAGATCAAAGCACATTCACGTGTTAGAATGGCCTAGTTAAAACAAGAGCCTAAATCCAGTTAATCAATGACAAGACTTGATGTTCACAGATGTTCTCCGCCCACCAACTCTTGTTCAAACATGTTTTAGCTGCTAAAAAAAAAAATGCTTCTATTGGCAACTTTAACACATTTGTACAAAACATAAGCTCTTCGTTTCTCATTTAACGAAGCGAACAGATGCAGTTTCATAACAGCAGACGTCACGTTGTTGTGGTTGGCAAGTCAGGCCCGTCATCTCAAAATGTCAACCTGCCAGGAGGTTTTGTTGTCGCCGCGATGCCGCTGTGTTTTTCTGCTTACCCAGCACCTTATTGCAGACTTTCTCTTTACTTCCCGATTTCACGAGGTGGCATGTTTGGAGCCACAATATTGCCCATATTTAGGAAACAGAAAGGAGAGAAGTTCACCAGGAAGGTTTTCTGAGTTCATCCAAATGAAATAAATACATCAAGAGTCAGTGGAAGGATAACAGAGTTGAAAGTATGGAAATGTTTTTGGACACATATATACATATATATGAACATAATTCTATTTCAGTTTATTCTATGATGAGATAAAATGTCTGTAATTTCAGAAAAATAAACATAATCTCTAAGTTATATTCTCTACACACCAAATGCTGATTTTTCTGCCACTTTTGGGACTTTTTCAGTGCTTGCTGAAAATTTCACCAAGAATAATTTCTGAACATTACCTGAATTGTGTCGTTTTACTGAGGAAGGTTTTGCTAAGTCCAACTAAGTTGCAGTTGCAATCCATGAACAGTTCATCTGGTGCTTCAGAGAGAGTGAAGAGCAGAGGGACGAACACGAGGCGTGGTTTGATCCCGGCTGCTGGTACTGGTTTACTGTAAACTCAACAAAACAACAACACAGTAACTCAAACTCTGCTGTATTTCGGTTCCACTTTGTTGGTCACACGTGTAACGCCATCAAATATTAACGTCGCTTTGTCTGCAGCATCTGACACATTTTAGATGCTTTCTACACAAAAAAGGCTGTTTCTTTTCCTCCTACCATAACAAACATAAAGGTGATGTTTGTCAACATCGCCTTTACTGGGACTTTAACTGTAGCAAAAATCAAATAAATTCAACTCAGTTTTATTTTTATAGCACAAATTCACAACAAATGCCATCTCGAAGAACTTTACAAAAAATCATTTAAATTTAATCACACAATCATTCCAATTGATCCTAGTTATCAAATAGTGCAGGAAGCTCAGGAAATGATTCAAAGTATTTTCAAAAGTTTCTAGCTAAGAAAACCGCAGCAGACTGATTCCAGTCTGGGTTGAACTTTGGATAGATGAGACTAAAATGAGGCTTTTAGGTGACCAAAAACTCCAGTTTTTGAAAAACATCTAATACCTGATGTTGAGTAAAATGGAAAAAAACAGTTTCTTCCGAAACCTGCCAGATTGCACCATGGTTTGACAAAGTCTATTGATCCAAATGCCTGCAGGAGCCCGAAGTGGTTGGATGGTTTGCTTTTGTAATTGTTCAGTCACTGGATCATTTTGAAAAAAATAATTAGCCAAAGCAGATAAGCAAAGCTCTCTCATTGTATTAATGTTACCTCTGAACGTCCTCTGCAGATCATTGAGGGGGACTACAACGCGACGTGGATTCATCGGTACGGAAAACCAATCCCCTCAGGGACTCTCACCTCCCTCTGGTCGCTGTCTGTGGCCATCTTCTCCATCGGGGGCATGCTCTCCTCCTTCTGCGTGGGCTTCATCTCAGAGTGGCTGGGCAGGTACGAAACAAGACACCGGAAGTGGACATGTTCTCCTCCCTGAATGGTTCACGACTCCAAGATTTAGAAATACAGAAGAAATTGGGTTTATGTTTTGGGTGTGACATCAGTTTCTAGATTGGAAGACGGTTGGTTTTCAAGCAAAGTGAGAGATCTTTTCTTACCATTGAAGGGGCAGTGTTATGCAAAATTGACCTTTTCAAGCTTCATCAAAAACATACATGAAGTAGTGCTTTGATTCTTTCATGCGTATTTGGAAAGTCCTTCAGTCTCCTGTGGAAACTATTCAACTGTCCAAATCGCCTGGGTGGACCTAGCCCCGCCTTTAAGGCACAGCTCCTCCTCCTCAGAGTCTCAGTTTCCGAGCCAATATTCTTCCTCACAGAACAGATCTCCCTCAGTTCCTCCAGACTAGCCAGCAGCAATCAGCAAACACCAGGTGGAACTGTGCTACTACTCGGTGCAACAGTGGAAAAAACGTTAAAGGATTCACAGAAGAGCCATGTTATGATGACTTCCTGAAGGCGGTGTATCAGAAACAGGAAGAGTTTCTTTAAGCGACATCAGTAATAAACAAGTTTTTCTCCTGTCTCCCTGATGTTGTAGCTAACACCAACATTAAATTTCATGTCAATATTTCAGATTGAATTAGAACCACAACCAAATCACTCAAAGTCATTTAATTGAAACTGATCTAAAATAAGTCTTAGCAATGCAGTTTCATCAACTTGGTTATCAGTTAATGTAAAAAGCACAGACCAATAAAAATATGATCTAAAAAGATATATATATATTGCATTTATAGTGAAACATACAGCGTTCAGATGTATTCAATTTAATCCAGAAAAATCCTTACATTTTGTCAAATAACATGAAGTTCAATTTAATCAGAATATATTAAAGCAACATGAGATTCAGTTGATAATTTAGCACTAATTGATAAAAAAAAGAAAAAAAAATCTGTCTAGGAAGCCAAACTGATTGCATCAAAATGATAAATTAATGTGATAGACTTTTTGAATAAGCAAATGTATCTCTTCTTTTCAGTGTATCAGCCATTAAGGAATGTGACTGAGCATTTAAAAGTAAAGTTCTTATTCAAATTGTATCATTTTAACTATTTCAGGCGATTTTCATTCTCACAGTAATCTATTCTTCTTGTTGATGACTATAAAGCATACAGAGCAGTCAATAAATTATGATGATTAAAATTTTCTGTTTGTTATAAATAAGTAATCACAGATTATCTGCCTTACATTTATCAGTTCACATCACAAACACAGATGTACAGCTCGCTCCAAGACTCTGTTTTTGTGAGACACTGACCTCTAGAGGCCAAAATGAATCTGGTGTCATGTTCACAGTTCTGGGAACAAAGCAGAACCCGTTCCAGTGTCACAGGACCGAATCAAACACCCGTCTCCTTTTACCTGCTCATGTGACCCGTCAGTCGTCTTGGATGGGATCAAACTGCGTTCTGGACTCCGTGACGACAGGTTTTCATGTTTCTCACAGGAGGAAAGCGATGCTCGCCAACAATTTGTTCGCCTTCGCTGCTGGGAGTCTGATGGGAATGTCTAAGGTCTGTCGCTCCTTTGAAATGATGATTCTGGGACGCTTCATCATTGGGGCCTACTGTGGTAAGACAAAGTTCTGTTTCTAATTTTACTTTCTTTGTTTTCATTCATGCGAACAGCATTTAAAAAAAAAAAAACTCTCCAGTTCGCCAGCAGGTTCTGGTTTCATTTGTCGCTCCTTTTTGAAATGCCAATTTTCTGCCTTTCTTTTCATCTCTTCCTTTTTGCGCAGGACTTGCATCTGGTTTGACGCCCATGTATGTGGGGGAGATAGCTCCTACCAGTCTTCGAGGTGCACTCGGCACGTTGCACCAACTGGCCATAGTCACTGGGATTCTTATAGCTCAGGTGTGACTGTGTGTCATTGGCCCCCTGGGGAAAGATGTGAATAAAAGCATTGTCAAACTTTACAAAGATGCAACTCTTTGCTGCACTTCTTCATCTTTGAGCTTTAGAGTTCTGGTTTTACGACTCTCACTTCCTCGCTGCGCAAACTTTGAAGAAGAGACGAAACATAACATGTGGTGTAGAAAAAATATTGAAAACTGCGTTGAAACTCAAACTAGCTCTTCAACAACTGTTTGGCACATTTATTCACAAGTACTGTCTGTCACTGGACCCTGTGCATGAATCTGGCTACCATTTAGCTTTCCGTCAGGCATTCACTCTCTCTGATGTCAAAGTCAAAAAGGCTTTCCGTCTTTTCGTTTGACAGGATCGTTCTGCTGCATTCGTTGCATTGAGCAACTTTATATTTTTTAAATGTAAATGAGCCTAAGGAGGTTGGTCTGAGGTTATCCATGAAAACTCAGACTGGTCCTCAACCTAAACCAGGATTCATACTGGTCTCCTGCTCTGGTTCCCTCTGTTTTTTGTTTTGAAAATAAATGTCATTTTTTAAACTTTCACCACAGTTTCAAGACCTTTATCTCGTAGGCCAACACATATATATGCCATACTTTAAGGCATGTTCTCTTGTCTTTCCAAGTCGAATAGTAGTTCAGAGATGTTGGTGTGTTTGGGCCTTACTTTTAACGCCAAGGCAACCCATGAATTACCAAGAAAAAAGTATAGTTAGAAATACAGGAATGAATGAAAATGTAGTTTTTTTATTTGATTTTTCTCCATCTCTGATTTACTCAAATTGTTTAGTTTGAGATCATTGTATTGCTGTCAAAGATTAATTTGGTGTAACTTTATTCTCTGGGTAATAGAGGACAGTCTTGTATTGCTGTAGTAAATTTCTCTTCCCCCTATTTCTCCCACATTAGTTTTAGATCAACAAGTTCTGAGTAGATGTGTGTTTGACATCGTACAGGCATCACTAACGGCGCCTTTCTTGTTCTGTTTGATAAGATTCTGGGTCTGGAGACGTTGCTGGGCAGTGAGGACCTTTGGCCCGTTCTGCTGGGTTTGACCGTGGTACCGACTGTGCTGCAGATGGGTCTGCTGCCCTTCTGCCCCGAGAGCCCCCGATTCCTCTACATCATTCGGAGTCAGGAGCACCACGCCAAGAGTGGTGAGTCCCAGGATTTGTTCTTGAAACGCCTCTTTGCCACTCGATCGCCTGAACTCCTCCCATTTGTCCCCTGAACAGGCTTGAGGAGGTTGACGGGCCGGCAGGAGGTGGGTGACATGCTGGCAGAGATGAAGGAGGAGAAGAGGAGGATGGACATGGAGAGGAAGGTCTCCATCCTAGAGCTCTTCCGCTCCCCTCTTTACCGCCAGCCCATCGTCATCTCCATCCTGCTGCAGCTCTCCCAGCAGCTCTCTGGAGTCAATGCAGTGAGTCTGATTTTGCTCAGTGATGGAGGAGCATTACTTAAGTCTCCAAACTTAACCCAGGTCAGTAACTCGGATCTGTTCAATTCCGCCTCCAGATTTTCTACTACTCCACCAGTATCTTCATGAAGGCAGGAGTCCAGAGTCCGGTCTACGCCACTATAGGGGCCGGAGTTGTGAACTGTGCCTTCACCGTGGTCTCGGTGAGACGTCTGTGTCCTGGCTCGCTGGCTGCCTCACAGGAAAATTCAGTTTGAAGTATTTGAGAGACTTTAAACAGCCTTGCTTTGAACCACATTAAGTCAATAAGTGTGACTCTTTCTGTTATCAAAGAGTAAATAAGATAAGAGGAGGCTCGCCAATCGTTTTCACGTTGAGTCCTTTTTCCTGCTGAGTTGTCATTAAAAGAAGCAGAAATGTAATATTCCACATGTTAAACCATTGGTGGTGGCATATGTCCACCAAACTAGTGTAAGAAATAAGTGAGGTCTGCAAAGCTACACCTCAGTACAGACCCTCCACCTGTCAGAAAATACAGTTTTACACACCTGATACTAAAATTAGCTTGCTTTGATTCTTATATTGTATATTGTAGGACTGTCCACACTGAAGAGTGTTGTGGTCAATGTGACCCGGTAGTGTCAGTGTGCTCACACTGCAAAAATACAAAACTTCAGACATGAACTAAACCAAACTGAAATAGTTCAAGCTGATTTTTAGTATTCAGCCAAACTAAAAATCAGTCTATCCTGGTCAGCTTTTATCGGGTCCTAATTGAGTTTGCAAACATGCAAAAAAGCCATTGAGGCATTGACAGACTACATTTTGTATATTTGGCTCAGAAATGAATAAAAGTTGAACGTTTTCATTGTTTTCTTGAAATAAACAGCTGTTCCTTGTGGAGCGGATGGGTCGGCGGACACTTCACATGTTGGGTTTGGCAGGAATGTGCGTTTCTGCCATTATCATGACTATAGCTCTGGCTTTACTGGTAAGTAATGCTAACATTCAGGTTGAATTGTTACTTGTTTTTTTAACCACCAATAAACCTCTGACTGCATTGTTTCTTCCACCTGACAGGACAGCATTCCTTGGATGAGCTACATTAGCATGCTAGCTATCTTTGGCTTTGTGGCCTTCTTCGAGGTGGGTCCAGGTCCCATTCCTTGGTTCTTTGTCGCTGAGCTGTTCTCTCAAGGCCCGAGGCCAGCTGCCATGGCTGTGGCGGGCTTCTCCAACTGGACCGCCAACTTCATCATCGGCATGGGCTTCCAATACGTTGCGGTGAGGACAATCAGCAATCCAAAATAAGCAGACTTGCAAATGTTTTAGACATTTTTTTCCCTCTATATTCACCAATAACTCCTAAATCTTCCTCCCCAGGATCTCTGTGGGCCATACGTGTTCCTGATATTCGCAGTGCTGCTCCTCTTTTTCCTCATCTTCACCTTCTTTCGGGTGCCAGAGACCCGGGGAAAGACATTCGACCAGATCGCAGCCAACTTTAATCAGCACTCGGCGGGTGGCATGATGGATATGGACATGGAGCTGAACAAGCCCAGCACGGAGCTGGACTACCTGGGGGACGAGAGCATCAACTGAAGAGTCCAAACAAACAAACAAACAAAAACAAAAAAACAAGCTGAGTACAATTTGAGATGACGTTTGTGTACGGACCCCACTCCAAAATTTTATTTTCTGAGATATTTTGAGATCTGTAGTCCTATTGATATAGTTTGTGGTGCCAAAGCAATGTCAAGATGAGTGTGTGACAGTATGGACGTTTTTGGAGCCGTCGTTTGCTGGTACCACAGCAGTTTGCTAACTCACGGTTCTGATCGTTGCTCTGACAGCTCAAAGCCTTTGAGTTAAGAGACTGACTGATGAAGAAAAAAAAACAGAGGCATTGACTGCCGGTGTGAGATGATTTCATTCAGTGCTGATGAACTCAGTCGCAGCATTGAAAGATGGGGAAATTTTGGAATTCCTGCACTTTATAAAGAAAGACTTCGGCGAACGGAGGTACAGGTACTGTAGGACGGTGGTATCTAACTTTGGTTCTGAAAGACCAAATCAGATGTAAACGGTTGAGCCACTTTCTGAACATCATGTTCTGCAAATGCTTGGTAATGGACAATTAATTTGCTTTGCGCTGTGTTCAACCTAGTGAACATCTAAGACCTGTAGGACATTTGGGTCTTGGGGACTAAAAACAGACATCACTGTCGTAGGAAGTTGACGTAACTTGATAGTTTTCACTTAAGATGGGGACAAGTTAGAGTAAGGCTGATTTGGGTTCTTTGTGCAGATTTTGGAAATACTAGTTTGCTTTACCATTCGATTTTAAAGGAGCAGCATTATGTATTTTCTTGCTCCTCGTTTTAGACCTTAATCAAATAATCTTTCTCCCAGTTGTTGTAAAAATGCTAGATATCAAAAATAACTTAAAGGAAATTCGTCTACAAAATTTAATGCATTGAAATTGGGTCTCTGTCTCTTTAAGAATCTCCCTCTCCATAACAACATTCCTCTTTCAAGCCTTTGAGAACATTTTTACCAGCTTTTCACTGACGGGTCGTTTGTATGATGAGTTCAGGAGATGCCACAGCTCCACTGGGTGTTTGCTACCTGCTGCTGCCACTAGTCTGAAGGAGCTGAGTGGGGAAAAGAGCTCTATGAGGTGGAAGCTTGGCTATTACCAAGCAGGAAGAAGCTGCTTGGAAATAGGCGCCGGTTTGTCAGATGGTTGCTACTGGAGATTCAAAGATTTCTCATGAAAGATTTAAAGAAGCACACTGCGCATGCTTTTGAAGAGAGTAACATGATATAAAATCTAAAAAATAAGTCCCAAAATTTAGCGCAAGACTGCCTTTTTAAATTGGCAAATGCGCTAAAAATCGAGCAACAAAGAGAGTTCCCACGTTTATTAGCCTTTTCCCCATATTGTTATTAAAAATGCTTTGATAAAAGTTAAAACCTTAACTTTTATTACAAATTTGGGAAGTTTAACTTTTATTCAGCTGATGCTTGAACAGCAGCTGAGCCGTGTTTGTAGGGAGACATTGTGATACTGTCGATAATACAATTACACAGGATAAACTGTTTGCTGACGTTTTTCTTCATAGCATCCTGCTGATGAAGCTTGGATCAATGAGCTACACAGATTAAAAACTGCCCATCAATTTTATTGGCATGCAGACCTCAAATCAGAGTAGCTATTGCATCAAAGCCACGTTGATTAGATTTGCTGCACAGCTCTACGCTGTTCCTCAAAACGTTGCTGAAACCGACTTCCCGTCTGAGCAAAGCAGAGATGAATCTGAGCACGCTCTAGAAAAATCTCTCGGCTTTGTGAACAAGCTTAAAGATTGAATTTTTGTATCTACATGAAAATCCCCATGAATAGATCTACAGCTTTTGGCCTTTCAGCCTCCAGCTTCTTAGAGACCAAACTAGTAAAATGGCCCTTTGAGTCCGTTGAGCTACCAAGTGAAAAACCAAAATCCTGATGGGTTTAAGGGTTAAAATTACCCCAATTTAGACATAAAAAGTCAGAGTAAACCCTTTAGAAAATGGAATAAGTTTAGAAATTAAACATTTCACACATTTTCCTCACTGCAGGAGTCCTGCATCAGTCAGTTCTTTACACATGTTCCCTTCTTAAGTTTTAATGTTTTTCAGATTTCAGAAAACATTTTTTGGTACTTCTTGTGTACATAGTGTTTTTGTCATGGTATGTGGGTCTAAAGTTTCTACTCTGTATGCACTCCAGCTGCTGTATGAGTTCTGTGGATGCTCAGTGAGGTTAGAGATCAGGATTTATTTTGTAGTTTATGTACAGACTTTGCATCCATGTGTGTGCTCTGTTATGTAGTGCTCATTTCTGAATATTTGTATCGAGATTTTTTTTTTCTCAGTGGACTTGTAATTTTATGCTGTGGTTATACAAGTGCTGTAAATAACTGTACAAACGCCTCTTCATTTCCATACCATTATTCTATTCTACTCAAAACAAAACTAAAGCAAAGTTGTGATATTTGCAAACATGTTTTATTAGTTGGCATTCCAAGTATTGACATTGCACATAATCCCCTCCAACAAAAACAAGAACCCTCGAGAAATAAAGTTTTTTTTTTTGTTTTTTTCCCCCCCATCAATCCATCCGAAGCCAGAGATGAAAGGAACACAAGGCTTCGACCGATTCAGATGATAACAGAACTAAACTGACTTCCAATGCAAACCACCAGCTGCACACCTGCTTGGGTTTCCCCTCAAATCAAATTAAAAAGCCAAATAAAAATAAAAAAAAAACAAGGCTGGTTCTTCCGAATACCTGATCTACCCTTATCTGGTCAGTTAAAGAAAATGTTCTTCTAAGAGGGGTTGGAATGACTGAGCCACCAAGCAGATTTCCCCTCCATTTTCCCCTCCGCTTTAAAGCTTTTTAAATTTTTAAATCACACACCCGTCGGTATCACCTTTTCTAGCCTACGACTCCTCGCCAACCAGTCACTATAAACAAGTTGTGAGAGAGAGCGAGGGGAGGGGAGAGCAGTGCATGTTGTGAAAGAGGTCCAGCTCTCGAACACCAGGACCTACAAGAAAAACGCAAAGGAGGCACAGGGATCTCAAACGGTGAAGAACCAAACGTCAGATGCCTCTGATCCTGAACGAGGATTAGGCTGATCTCTAATCCTGGTTTGACAAAAAAAATATATATATATTTTGTGTTTCAACTCAAGTTTAAACTTAAAAAACGTCCTTAAAGACTCCATAAAAATTGCTTTTATCCCTTTAATGCCAGCATTCCACTTTAAACCAGTCCACGTCCGTCGAGAGACCGCCCATTTGTCCCGTGATGCACGAGCGGCACAATCTCAAACTGTCCGAATCCAGAGTCGCTCAACGTTCTTTAGCATCAGGTCCCATCTTCCCCCTGGGGGCCAAGGGCCTGAGACAAGTCTGGGTGCAGTCACTCTGTTGGGGCTTCAACTTCTGGGGCAACCTCCGCCTGAGGGCAAACAAAGTGCAATGCATCACAGAAAACACAGAAACACTTTGTTGTGGTCAACTCTTTACCTCAGGAGATATTGGCGTTTTAGGAGAGGTTTTCGGAGACGACTTTGATGATTTGGGTGTAGATTTTTCCTCTGTTGGTTTTGTGGTCTGAGGAGGGGTCCCAGGCTCCGAGCCAGACTTCTCTGTGTCATTCTTCATGCAAGACAAAGACCAAGTACATTTAATAGAAGCACTTATTTCAAAGATTTTTGTCAAAAAAAAAAAATCAACAACTTGCTTTAGATGTTGAGGATTCAGAGTTCCTCTGCCTGTGCCGCCTGGACGGCCGGCGTAGTTTCTGGCCTTGGTCTTCTGTCGACGTCTCGCCGTTGGTCTGGATACCCTCAGGAGACTCCACCTGTTTTAGCTTTGCCTGCTGTTCCTTGCCTTCTTCTGAAGCCGGAGACTGGTCCGCAGGTGGGCGAGGGCGGAGGGGTCTAGATTGATGGTAAAAAAAAAAAAAAAAAAAACTGGTATGGACGGTTTCACATTTAAGTACGACTTTAGGGTTACCTGCGGTTGGGACGGAAGAACCTGCGCCTTTGTGGCAACTGCTGTGTCTGATCGCCTTCAGCAGCTCCATCTTTTTCCTCTCCAACTTCCCCCTGGTTATTCCAGTAAAATGTAATTATTGCCAAAGTAAAACAAAAGAAACCCCCCCCGCTAAACATTCGGTCTGCTTCACCATACATTTTGGGCACTAAGTCGCGGCCTGCGTGGCCTACGTCTCCGGGGTGGAGGCCTCGTTTCCCCCGTCTCCTCCATTTGCTCCCCTTCTGGTGCCGGAGCTTGGGGATCGGCTGGTGTACTCTGGTCTGCAGGACGAGCGACGCGGGGGAAGAACCGCCGACGGAAACGCCGTTTGTTGGGAGCGTAGCGGCTGCCTTTCACCGGAATGCCACCCGGACCCGTAACGTTGGCCGCTTCCGAGCCCTGTTGGGACAATGCACCAGTTCTTGAGCAGGCAAGAGCTTTCGATGCTCGGAGAACCTAAACATTTCTTCGTTCTCACTTTAGTTGCTTCAATGACATCAAACTCTACGACTTCCCCATCTCCAACACTTCGGAGAAACTTTCTAGGATTGTTCTTCTTGATGGCAGTCTGGAGGAAAAAAATCAGTCAAAGGAATGGTACAATCAAAGCAGGATGAAGAACCAAAACTTAATCCCTACCTGATGAACAAACACGTCTTCTTTAGTGTCATTCCTGCAAGAGATGATAGCTTAGCAGTTGCGCCAGATGTAGGGATTCTTACAGTAAGGCATAGTACGAAGTGGTACCTGTTAATGAAGCCATAGCCATTACGGACGTTGAACCATTTCACTGTGCCTTGAACTGCCATGGCTGTAACAGAAGATTTACCAAATTGGTTTTTCTTTTTACCCCCCTTTTTACGTAAGACATGGGAATACAGGCCATTTCACAGAAACCATGCTGCTATCTTGCCTACACATCAATCATTAACAGTCAGACTTTGAAACCAGGTCCGATCTGGGTCACGAGGGAGGGGACGATACAACCTGTTTAACACCTTCAGGAGGCCAAAGGCAAGAGTCGTGATTCATCAAACAATGATTTCAGCTTTTGTCAGGAAGAGGTTTCTGCAGGAGTCCACCTACCGTTTAATTGGTTCACGTGTTGCTTAGGGAAATGATCTGCAGCTGTGAGGGCCTCACCATATCTGGGCCGGGCGCTCACAATGTCAGGAGGGCAACAAAGCTTTCTCATTTGAGGCAAAAAAAAAAAAAAACTTGGCGCACTCAAAGCGATAAATACATGCGGCATCAATTGAATGAATCATTTCTACAACATGGATACCGGACGATTATCTGTACAACACGTGTCACCCTGTAAATGAAGCCATAATGATTTATTGTTTACAGTCCTCACCTTGTAACTGGGATTGCCCAACCATCCTCACAACTTTCACGCGTCAAAAGGATTGCAACATTTGCTCAAGGCTATGAAAGTGCACAAGTCTTAAGAATGGCACTTAATGCAAACAATGCGCCCCTAAAACAACTAACCAGACTGGCTTGCGGCTCGCCCACCTCTCTGCACCCACCTATGACCTTCTTCTCCGGCTGCGGCTTGTCTTCCGCCGGGACAGGCTGTGGAGAGGTCGGCGCCTCGGAGTCGCTCATCCTCGCTGTTGCTGCGCTTGTTCGGGGGGACAGCCGGTCGCTCCTGCTGGTTCCGCTGCTCTTTTTGAAACTTTCCTGCCCGCCTCCGTTAAGGTTTTATCTCGACGTCGCCTCGCGCTCCGGGACGGAAGCCGCGCCCTCATTGGCTTCACGAGGGCACGAGCTGGAAACCGATTGGCTGCGAGAAGTCAGCAAATTGGACGGGAAACAGTGACAGGTGGGGGGGACAGGTAAGAGTGAAAGGAGGTGATTTCTGCCACCGGAAGTGGGAGGAAGTTTGACCTAAATCGAGTTTATGACACTTTAAATGGTTAAACGTTGTTAAATTTCAGTCAAGACAGCCTGTAACCAGCCACCGGATTATAATCTCATTTTTAAATTATTTTTAACAACTAGATTTAGTTTAGCTGCTTGAATAAAAAGATTCAGCTAGATAACATAAAAAATATTCCTAAATATTTTTTCAAAATATGTTAAAGCTGTCATGAGTTTTTACATAAATTATCCCGACACCTTTGACGTGAATCGATTAAACCAAATCTAACCAAATTAAACTTTGCTGACATGAACTTACAGGGAATGACAAAACATACCTGAAAATGATCTAAACTCAAATAAACTGAACTCAATTGAGTTGAATTACTCGATTAAACCGAGCTGAAAAAGAACTGGAAATAAACAACGCAGAAATTAAATTCAAATTGAGATTAAATTGATTAAAACTAGATCTGCCAAACTGGTGGAGGTGGTCCAGCAACACCTCAACTAAACAGAACCAAGTTAATTGAAGCAAACTGGAATTGATCTGAATTAATCAAACCAGAGTTGAATTGAACCTAATCGAAAGGGAAGTGGAGTTGGATTAAACTGAAATGGTCTGAACTGAATTCAATAGAACTAAATCAAATGGAGTGAAACTGAATGAACTGAATCAATTTAAGCTGGATTGATTTGGACTTTCCTGCTTATAGCGCTTCCTGATTATGTTTTTGGTGCTACAAAAATCTAAATTGGCTCTCTGTAGGCTATTTCTGAGATTTACATAAAATAAAAGTTTAATAAACACATTCGGTTGCTTATTTGTGTTGGTGTTCAGCATCCTTGGGTCACTTTCTGTGCATGCTTTCCAAATGTACGCTTTGTTTTTAAACTGTGTTCCCACCTCATAAGTCCTTGCTTACAGCTGATATCACTCAGAAAAGTCGTCTGTCAACCTTTCAATTTGATTTTATTGTTAGATGCTTTCGAGAGAAAGAAAATGTTGAATTTTTTTTCTAAATCTTCTGCGATAAAAGTTGGCTTTTTAAACCAGCAGTAGCTTAATTCACATTTTGCCTTTAAGTGCAGCCTGCATAGGTCACTGCACTCCAGTTTCACGCCACTAAATTTAACTCAGCCTCTGTGAGAGGAGCCAAGTTCAGCAGCACCATTTGCTGCACACTTGTGACCAAAGATAGTTACAAATATAGACTGAGATTTCTGGTGGGAGAGGGAATGCAATAAAATAAAGCTGGAAAGGACTCTTTAATGTATAAAAGCACACGCTGAGCTTGTGAAATCCCCAATTGCATCCTGATCAATAATGTGTCATTTTAAGAAGGTGCGCAACTAAATCGCACCTTCCGGCTTGAGAAATTGAAAAAGACGGAGCAGAAGAAGCGGGCGCCATTTGTAATTTAGATTGACAGCGTCCACAATGTGTTTCAGATACTTTGCTGAACTTGGGAAGGCACAGCGTGCAGCATCTGTTACCCGGTAAGAGTCCAGGAAGAGGAAACATGAATGGTCCATGTGCGATACACATCAAATTGTCGAGGTTTCTTTAACGGGCTTCTGCGCGACAGGGACATCAAGCTACTGCCAGTTAGCCAGCGGCTAACCGGAAGGGCGGGAGCTCTTCAAAATAAAAGGCTCGTGGCGAGGAGGAGGAGTTAAGCACAGAGATACGGTGACGATTCACCTTTGTATTAAAAGTAGGAACACTATACACATTTAGTGTGTATACTTTGTGGTAATACTGTTATGATTATTTTTAAAAAGCTGGTTTTCTGATATCTATGTGCATCTCTAAAGCTCAAATTTGACCTAAATTTGGTCCATATTTCCAGTAAATTAACGTGTAGACAGTGTGGACATAGAGCAACAAGAAAAAAAAAAACATTTATCCAAAAGATAGCCTAAATGAGTTTCTTTAAAGAAGTGAATGTATGAGTCAAACTTGACCAGATCTAAAGTTGTGGCGAAAGCGTACTGAAAAGTCCTGGTGGAAGTAATTAGACATGAGGTGATATTTACTGTGTCAAATGTTTTTATTTTTTATTTAATTCAGGAGTCTGCAACTTTAACAATCCAAAGACTCATTTTTTGACTTAAGTCCAGCCACATAAAGCCAGCTTAGATTTGAAAACTTTACATGGTCTTTTGATATATATATATATATATATATATATAATATATATAATATATATATATATATATATATATATATATATAATATATATATATATATATAAAAACAACTTATGATTTTTAATACGTTTTTTCTAGGAAATTGTTGTTGATTTTGTAGAGCCACCATTTTATTCCTGTGACTTGCAGAAAGCAAATACAATTCTTGCAAAAAAGCGGATGGATTTAACTTTCTTCTTATAGTCTGAGGAAAATGACACAACAATGTTTCAAAGCAGGGAAAAATAGATCTGCAAATAGCAAGGGTATTTTTTTTTGTGTAATTCTGTTGTAAAAAATCAATACGTTTACACCTCAAAACTGAGAAATATTAGTTATCATTATTAGTTCATTTGAGTGCCAATATAAGACCAAAAAGTCACCGGAGTTGCATACTTTTATTTTCTTCCTGAGGATCTTAGAGATTTTTGTATTCAATAAGGGACAACAAATGATATTTGGCAAAACAGAAGAAATATTTCTCATGTCTTATTTTCATCTCCATAGAGACGATACGGCCCAGTTAAAGTAAGGCAGAGTGCTCCCGAGTCGCGTGAGTGTTTTGTTTTGCAGAGCCAACAGGAAGCGGTGTCTGTGGATGCTCCTGTGTTTATTATGGGGCTCTGGATGACAGCGGCAGACAGAGGGACGGAGAGGCTGCGCATCGTACGAACAAGCGGGCTTTGGATCCGCTTGGAGCGTCTCGCCTTCCTCTGCTGGAGGCGAACAGCAGTCTGGAATGAGTCAGAGAAACAACATCAGCTGAAGGCTAAATAATAGTAATAATAATAATAAAAATAAATAAATAAATAGAATAGGTGGGAGCGACATCGTCTTGGAGGAGCAGAGGCCGGACCGGACAGTGACCGCAGCGGAGGAGCAGAGCCATTATCAGCGGAGTAAGTTCTGCTCGTCCAATAAGAGGGGCGTGTTTGCGCCTGGGCAGGAGGTTTCCTCCGCACCAGGCGGGCTGCGGCGCTCTGAGCGCGTCTCTAATTTACGCGAGTCCTTATTGGATTTAAAGACTAAATAAACACGGCGAACATTTGGGGTCCATCCCAGCGGGGGAGCAGTTGGACCCGGGTCCGCAAGGCGCTGCCTGCCGGGGCCCGCTTGGTGTTCAGCTGTTTGCTGGTTCCTGTCAGTGTTACTGGGAGGTGGTGGTGGTGGTGGTGGTGGTGGAGGGGCAATAATAGCTGCCACTCTAGCTGCTGGAGGCTGGCTGTGAGGGCCGCAGCCTGGGTGCAGGCAGGCGGCATGCCGGTCCGCTGAGGGCCGCAGAGAGAGAGAGACTCAAACATATCGAGAGCAGAAATATTGAGAAAATATTAACAGGATCACTATAGTTACACAACTTTAAAGAAATGTAAAGATATGTAACACACTACCAGTGTTTTATACCGTTTACAGGCAGGACTCCAACAGCCAAAGAGGCCAAAATAAAATAACATAAAATAAAAATGAAACTAATGTCAAAGGCAGAATCCAAAAGTGATTCAGATGTGATCCAGAACACTATCAACAGTCAGTGTAAACACAGGGTCCAGATAACACGCTGTACATTCAGCTGGAAAAAAAAACCCCAAACGCCCCATAAATGTATTTACTCCTGTCTCAGGTTTCATTGTAAAAGTTTTCTGTTTAGCCTTGAAACGACTCAAGGAAGGACTTAACCTGCATTACCGCCTCTTATAACACATGTTACTAAGCATCAAAGAGTCACCAAGTGTGTCAAAAACACATCAAAATTGAAATAAGTGTTGAACATTTATTGCGGCCCATTCCCGGTAAATTACATGAACAACAACTAACTGATGTAACTCGACCGATAATGAAGTGAGTAGAATCACCCAGTCACTGTTTCAGTGTTTCAACTTGACACTCAAGCAATAGAAAACAGGAGAAAACGACTGTTTGAAGGGAACTTGCAGACACGTCAGAAATTGTGGCAAGGCTTTGATCAACTGTTTCTTTAAACAGTAAAAAATTGAGAGAAATAAACCCAATCTTCGCTGTGCTGCAGTAAAACGTGCATAATTCCCCTCCTCACTTGTTGGTTGTTTTGTATAGAAATGACGAAATGAGCATTTAAAAGGCGTGAAACTACATCCTTCAGTGCAACGTTTGCATGTGAACCTTCAACAGAAGCTGCTACTGAGAGATAGGGATTTAAGTGTGCAGTGAAAAAAGTCGGGTTGTCGTCCTTTTAGTTTTAATATGAAAGGTTTTCATTCTAAAACCAGCAACGTAAAGGAAATATGGCTGATAGCAAAAGAAAAGAGGGGGAGAAAAGAACAGTCTAAACACAGACATTCATAAAAAAAATACGGCTTGTTTTTGATGTGTGTGTGTGTGTGTGTGTGTGTGTGTGTGTGTGTGTGTGTGTGTGTGTGTGTGTGATGTGTGTGTTTTTCCTGTGCAGCAGCCATGGCGGATGCAGAGTTGGACTTCCAGACCGGTGATGCCGGGGCGTCTGCCACCTTCCCCATGCAGTGCTCCGCGCTGCGCAAAAACGGCTTTGTGGTGCTCAAAGGTCGACCCTGCAAGATCGTGGAGATGTCCACCTCCAAAACCGGCAAGCACGGCCACGCCAAGGTAAAAAACAAAAGACAAACAAATGCAGAATCAGATAAATCGACAACTGTATACAGGTGGGGGTTTAGTCTAGATTTAAAGGCACTCAGTGTTTCGGCTGTTTTGCAATTTTCTGATGAATTGTTTCGAGGTGTTTTTGTTTTACAATTGAAAAACGACTTCAAAGGATAAAAATGAACTCATTGCATCAAAGTATGAGTCAGGAAGAAGAGTGAAAAAAAAGTCCACTGCAGGACATTAATCAACTGGGTCACACTCACCACGGTCACTGATCATTTGTATAAAACTTGTGTAAAAACATGACAGAAACCTCATGCTTCTGTCACAAACAAACGTGACAGAAACATGCCTGAGGTTGACAAGACGCTAAAAACAACACGGAAGGAGCTGCAGGAGTTTTGTTACGAGTTTTTGCAGGTGACATCAATCTGCTCTATCCTCCATAAGTGTGGAATAAGGAGTCCAAAGTCTTGGCAACTTGACACCTTAAAATGGGGCCTCTGCCTCTTTAAGAAGCTCCTACTCTCTCTGACATGACAGGCAGCAGTGTGAGAGCAGAGAAGCTTTATGGAAACAGGCGGCACTTTGTGAGAGCAAGTGTTCAGTCACCCCCAAACGTTTGCCGTGGGAGATTCGAGGATTTCTCAAACATTTGTGAACTAATCAAAGCAACACTCCACGCATGTTTGTTATCAGGGAATTACTATTATTTATCATTCCAACATTTTTTGATCTTTAACATGATATAGGGTAAAAAGAAAAGAAAAAAAAGTAGATTTTTATATAATTTGACATAAATCCTGACTTAAATTCCAGAAGTCAGCTCACCCCTCTCAGTGTAAACACTTGAGTGTTTTGCAGACGTCTGCATAAATATTTCTGTATGTCTTCTGTACCTGTGCAGGTTCACCTGGTTGGCATCGACATTTTCTCTGGCAAGAAGTATGAAGACATTTGTCCTTCCACCCACAACATGGACGTCCCCAACATCAAAAGAATGGATTACCAGGTGAGTCGATCCCTGGCGGATCCTCTGAAAACTTCTTTTTCTTTTTAGACTTAAACATTATGACAGCACAAACGAGAATTGTTTTTGCTGCATAAGCCAACACAGCTGACTGACGCCATATTTTGTTTGAATTTGGAAATGTGGACTGGCTGGTTGAACTTTGGAGAAACGTTCCTAAATATCTTTAAAATAAAGAAAATGAATGTTTAATACCAACTTTTTGACCTGAAGAAGGGAGGTGATATCAAAAGTAAATAACTATATGCCCCATTTTTGTGCCGTTGCATCTTTGTGCCCTAGTATATGCAGTGGAAATTTATAAAACTAAACATCCAAACATAAAGCTTAGTGGCAGCAGGACAGACTGGGCTAAAACACGATGCTGCACGGGGAATCCACGCCGCTTGCCAAACTGTACGCAGCAGGTGTTGAGTTTCCTGCTAAAGTGAAACCACGCAGTCCCAGCGCTGCGCTTCACATAACCCGAAGCTTATGTGAAGCTTCGGGTCACATAAGCATTTTTAGATGCGTTGTCACCTTTTGACCCTTTTACATGTGCTAGAGCAGCCGTTTCCTCGTGGCGGGCTAAGCCAGCGGTGTGTGTCAACGTGATGCATCGCAGAACAAAAAAAAAGATTCACGTTCCTCGTTCGCAGCTGATTGGGATCCAGGACGGCTACCTCTCCCTGCTCCAGGACAGCGGGGAGGTGAGAGAGGACCTGAAGCTTCCCGAGGGAGACCTGGGAAAGGAAATCGAGAGCAGGCACGACGCCGGAGAGGAGATCCTGGTCGGTAGCATCTCCTCAGCGCACGCTCTTTCCCCCGCTGCAGCTTTTCCTCCAAAGAAATGTTCCCGATCCCCTTCTCTCCCTCTTCCAGATCACTGTCCTAAATGCAATGGACGAGGAAGCTGCAGTCGGTATAAAAGCCTTGGGGAAATAAGCCACAGCAGGTAAACGCTCTTCTCTCTTCCTGCAACTGACCCTGAGAAAGTTTAATCTGAAAAGATGTTGACCTAAAACCAGCTGCTTTAAACTGCTGATGTTTGCGTTTATGAATCTTTAATAAGAAGAGGGGAGAGAAACCAAAAACTGCAGTCCAAGAGTAGCACTACTTCAACATGTTTTTACTTAAGTAAAAATAAAAAGTGACCGAGAAGTTATTAAAGTTAGAGTGAAAAATGTTTGGTTGAAAAGGTTAACGGATCAAAACATCAATCATTTGATGCTTTTGAAAATAATTCATATACATAGTTACAAAATAAGAAAATTTGGCAAAAGAAAAATTTTCCTACAACAATTTCTTTCGATATGAAACATATTGAACTGCAGGTGTGTGTGTGTGTGTGTGTGGGGGGGGGGGGGTAAATTTTTGGTTCAAACAAGCTTCTTCTTCATCCAGTTAAGTTACTCACACTGGGCAGAGCATTCAGGAAGAAAAACTAAAAGAAATTACTTGGATTAAGAAAAGTATTTGGCAACAAAGAACTGATCAAAACATTCATCTGTTGAATCTGTTTCAGATCCGAATGAGATGCACTGGACCTGGAGGAAAAGGAGAGGCTAATGCATCGTCCAAGCTAGTCTCCCTCCTTTCTCTGTTTCTTTTTTCCATTCTTGCTTTCCGCCTCTCCTTTGGGTTCAACTAGACGACTTGAATAAATATCTGGAAGCAGCTAAAAAAAAAAAAAGAAAAAAAAAACATTATTGATGTACATGCACAGAGTCCAGACGGGAGTCCCACAGTGGTTTTAAGTGGATCCACAAATGTCGTGTAGCAACGCCACCTTCAGGGACGAGCTGTAATCACACTTCTGTTTGACAAACCTCTGCTGAATCAAAGGGCTTCATCTCCAGATCTACAGCGAAACGATTTCAGAGAGATGACGAGTGAATTCTGCTGGTGTTCAAAGTTATTTATTGAGGAGATGCTGTGCAGAAACCCTCACAGCTCTCCGAAGAAACGATTCAAATGTTATTTATTGAGCTCCCAGGTTCTGATCCAGGATCTGTGGGCGATCTTTGGCAAGTTCGGCACCGTCTCGTGTCCGTACAGCCGAACGGTGCAGAATCTCCGCAAGGCCAACACACAAATAAAGCTAAACGTAATAAAGATGATGCAAAATGACGGGTGTGATGTATCGTTTATTTAGCAAGTTTTAAATAAATGCTTTAAGCCAGTTAATGCTGCAGAGGATGATAAAAAAACAAACAGCATCGCTCCAAAGTATTAACGCAAAGTTTACAAGCCTGAGTGGGGATCATCAGAGTGAATCTATCCACAGGTGAGTAAAGAAAACAAGTGGGTTTGATAGAAAATAACCGTTTGAAACACGTTCAAGACCATGAAATGGTTTCGGAGCAGTTTCAGAATAAGCTTCCTTTCAACTGAGCCACATCTGGAGGTCCATTTAATAGCTGGGAAAAAACTAAACCACTTCCAGGAGGATAATTGAGGATTTAATGTGGAACGAGGTTCTGCTCATGTCACATAGAAATGCAGGCGGGAGGCGGTGCACCACCAATGGTCTTCCTGAAACATCTGGAGTCTTCCTGGTCAGAGTAACTTATAGAAATGAGTTAAGAAACATCTGCAACATGTAAGCATTATATTGAGATTTTTTTCTTCCTCGATATTATTTACGCTGATTGAAAATGCTTTATGTGGTTTGTGTTTCACACAGGAAGATTGTCGGCGGCGCACCGCCTCCCGCCGTCATTTCTAATGTACTTATATTTACTTCTTTGTTATGATTCTATCCAAAATTGACAATGACTAAAGTTAAACAGAAAACTCTTCACATAGTCCTCTGACGTTTGAGATTGAAAATGTTGAAGGCAGTAAAAGTCAAAGCTGGTCTTATCTGTAGTAGACTAGCCGTTAGCTTTAGCACCTGAGTCTAAATAACCTGGATTTACACAAAAGACGGACAACTGAAGATGTCATAAGAATTGTATGTTGCAGGTAATATTAATTTCTTATAACCTTTTAGCAGAATTTCACCTCTAAACACCTTTACATTTCCAGTTTCATCAGAACTAATTAACAAATTTCTCGTCTTTTTGTTGCAGTTTTATGGTGGTTTCTGTATGAAATTATCAAATTTTAAGTTGTAAAAATTAAAACATTCTACAAGGTTAAAGGTTCAATGCAGAAAGTTGTTTCCATCGGTAATTTGGTATTTAACAGAGTAAATTTAAAAGTATGCTAATCCTTCATAGATATTAAGTGCTAACATAACTTTTGGGCTTGAATGGAATGCTCTTGTGCGCCCCCTGCTGGCCATAAGGTTTTAAGCAGCAGAACTCTTAATGAATATCTACAAATGTTATTCATTAAAAGTTGTGGAAAAATGAAAGAAAGGAAAAACCACGGAAACATGTGAATCCTAGCTTTTCTCGTTAGCTTATTAAACGTCAAAATAATTACACTGTGAAAATTATAGTCATTATGGCACAAATCAATCTACGTTTTTATTTTAAATCCAGAGTGATCCGCCACGGGTTCCTCCTCATGGTGGTGAAGCTGCAGTAAAAGAAAGATGAAGGTGTTTTACTTGCTGTGGTGGTAGAACCTCTGCCCACCCTGGCTGTGGGCGAGGAAGCTGTGACGGGGGGCTCCCTGTGGGGAGCTCTGAAACGGAGCCTGAAGACGCAAACACGAAATGTCACAAAAAGCTGTTTTAATTTTTTTTAAAAAATGAGAGGTGACCCAGGAGGGAAGTGGGTGACGAGGAAGCCTCACCTTGGCGGTGGGGATCTGGACCATGGGTGTGGGCAGCAGACCTGAAGCAGAAGGATGCATGGCAGAGGGATGCATGGGCCTCAACGCTCCCTGACGGAACAAGAAACGGAACAAAACTGCAATCAAATTTCCATAAAATGGAAGTTATGCTCTACAGAAGTAACATTAAAAGTTTCTGGGTTTAGTTCTAACGATTGAAACATTTTCACCCTGGAATCTCCAGCGTAAACAAAGGAGGGTGGCTGCAGAAAACAAGTTGGGTTTGTGGGACACGATGCCATAATAACAGGCTACGAGTGCCGAGGCTGCAGGTCAAACTGAACTACAACTTAAACTGTAAGCAGGCCGGGTTGCATTTTCTATCAGAAGCTGAATGTGAATTTTTAGTTTTAAAAATCAGAGTCGCAGCGATGGCGACCAACAGTCGCAACTGCTCATCGAGTAAGAACAAAAAAAAACAGAGTGGTTCGGTAAATACTTATATTCAGTGTGATTATCAGATTAAACTGAACAGACTCGACTCACTGCATCTGTAAAGCCTGACTGCTGGTTGGCGTGCTCCAGCTGCTTCTGCAGGGGTATCGACGCTCCAGAGATGAATCCTGCAAGAGACGCACAGGTCGCAACTTTTAACACGTCAAACATCTATTTCTTTAGTCAGAATATTGTCACGCTGAGACTTTTCTGCTATTTATCTGGGCTGCAGCTGCTTGTTCTCAGGTCAGCAGAACTCACCAGGCTGGGAGGGGAAGTGGCTGTGAACAGGATAGCCCGTCTGCTGGTGAGGGAGGTACTGCATGGCTTGGAAAGCGGACGCTCCTGGAGAGGCCACAGATCAGTGGAACAATGCAAACACACATTTAAAAAAAAAGAAGAAGAAAGACGCGGAGAAAATCAAGTTTCTCACCTCTGATCTGAGAGCTGCTGGCAAAGCTAACGGGTACAGACGGTCCGGGGGCGTAGGTGGAAGGGTGCTGGGACGCGGCCACGCCGTAGGGCTCGTGGACCCCCTGGCTGCCGCTGAACTGACCGTGTTCTGCTGAGCTGGAGCTGAACCCGGCCGTCTGATAATGACGGGTCTAACACAAAAATCAGATGGAAACTGAATGGAAATAATCTGCTTCTAATGGCATTAGACTTTCAGGCCTGTTTCTTTGTTTTCTGTAGTTCTGGTGTTTATATTGTTAAACACAAACTGGTAGGTGGATGATTTTATTTCAGCATCCGCTCCGGTTCTGTACTTACTGGGATGACGGAGGCTGGGAACAGCTGCTTGCTCCGTTCTCCCAGCAGGGCGCCGGGTCGACTGTGGCTCACTGGGCTTCCTGGACAGACCGAACATTAAAGCTGATGTGTTAGAAGCATTTCCCCCATTATGCATTTCTTCTGCGTCATCACCCAAAGAAATTCAAGAACAGACAAGAAACAAACACAAATCTAAGAGTCCGAAAATGATTGGACCAAAGAATTACTCCAAGAATTGATGATAATTCTTGGATTTCTTAGCTAAAAATACTTTTGTAGCTTAAAGTAATTCGGCTGTCTTTTCACCTGGGATGCTGAGGAGGTGCTGTCCTGTGTGCATGGACAGACTGGGCTGGTAGCTGGCTGATGTCAAGGTTGTGATATCGCTGAAGAGGAAAGAGGAAAGCAGGTAAAACACACAGCCTCAATCGGGGAATGATGCATCCCGACGGGCTGGTACCTCTGCTCCTTCCTGCGTCTCTTTTCCTCCTCGTGCAGAACTTTCTTAAGCTGTAGAAAAAGCTGGTGTTTCTCTTCTTGGAGGCCCTGAAGTTTCTCCTCCATCTTCATGACCTGGAGTTAATGTAACAAAAAGATTTATTTCACAGGCTCTGTTCTAGCTTAAGATGCAACTCAAAAAACAAAAACATAGCGGAGGAACCACAGACACGGACCTGTTCTTTGGTTTCCTCTAAGGACATCCGCTCCTCAATTTCTTTTGTCCTCTTCCTCTCCTCCTCTTCCTTTAGCTTCTGCTCCATCATTTTGTCCACCTCCTCTTCCTCTAAAAATGTCAAAACACGCAGAAATGCTTTTGCATACCGAACCAGAAATGGTGGAGCAGCTATGGTCTTTTATAAAATAAGAAAAGAATGCTTGGCGACTGATGAGCTGTCGTGACCAGGTTTGAGGGATCAAATTGAACCTAGAGTTTGAGGGATCCAACAGATTTCTTCCGGCTGTTGGAACAAGTTTATTTTGTATTTACCTTGCCTCTTGCGCTCCCTCTCTCTCATTATGTGCTTATGGAGGGCTCTGGCCATCGCATTGGACAGCTTGGGTCTCTCCAGCAGGGCGGGCATGGTGACAGGCAGTGGAGGGGCCAGCTAAGCACAAGAAACGACATGAGAATACTTCAATGCATGGAAGGATGCGTTTTCATTTGTGAGCAGCGCAAGACATAAAACAGGAATTGAAAATGTACATTTCACACGGTTTAGTGCAGAGGATTCCTGGTTTACCTGTATGATGGTGTAGACCTTAATGCCTTCAGGGCTTCCTCATTTGTTTATTATATACATTTAATAAAGTGCTGGATCAATTACTGAGAGGTTGCGGATCAAAAAGACATGACAGCATCGCTATATGACGTAAATCCGTCTTTCTACTTGTCCACAGCCTGTTGTTGCTCGCCCATCTTCATTAAGGTAATTTTGGTGGAAAAACTTAGTTCAATTCGTTTCTACCTTAGGGTCGGTGTAAATTACACCAATTACCTGTATATACCTGTATACACATATAATTTAATTAGAAGCAATGCTTTGTTTTGTATCTTTTGATTATTGCTGGAAAAACACACACTTGTAGTCAATCCCTAAATGCATGTTCACTGACAAAGCTACGTCTAAACTGCTGAAGAAAACCGAGTTAGCAAGTGTCAACGAGCTAAATGCTAAGCTAACATCGCCTGTAGCTGTTATCAATTACATGAAATGAACAAAGGCAAGGTCACTTAAAATTCATATCAATGCGTCTTGATGCTCTTCGCATCACATAAGTAGAAGCATGTTTGATACATAAACTCTTTCTGTAAAGATGTGACGTTTTAGGCATTGCTAGCTAGCTGCCGAGCTACGTGGATAATCTTACTGTGTGTTAAAGTAACTACGGGCCAAGTGTTGAAACAACTGAAGAAAAACTTACTTTTGTCGATTTGCAATGCGTATAATGAGAACCTAAATTTCAGCTGTTTTCAGCGTTTTTCTCGGGATAACGCACTATAAGAGGAAAGAAACTTCTTCTTCTGTAAGCAACAAACCCAGATGCATTACCGCCACCTGCTGGGCAGGACAGTGTATGTCTCCGTGTGTAGAGTGACAGGGCCTGGTTTCTTGGTGCCCCGCCTCCCTCGTAGCCCAATTTTTTTCGCTTGTGGGCCTGATAAGAGGTTGCTCCATTAACTTCATTTAACTTTTTAAATGCAATATAATTTTTTTAATCAAATTTCTATTCCAATTAGCAAACAGCTATCATTTTCATTGGGTCCAACTGAACCATTATAAATCATGGCAGAAGAATTTCTCCACACAAAGTACGCTGCAGACAAACAAATCATATTATTTAAGGAGATAATTTAGTTTCCCGAGTCAAGTCTTATGATATTGAAAGGAATTGAGGATGACTATGAGGCTGTGGTGGCTGTCTTGTTCCCTGATAGGTTAAAGAAGCCACATAATCCATTTCCATATTTATTTAGCCGTTTCTGGTCATTTATTCCAGTTTTTGTAATTTTTTTCTTTGTTTTTAAAATTCATTTTCATGGGCCCAATTCAATCATCATTACAAACTGTCAAAGAATTTGAAATTGAATTCATCCCAGGAAAGAATTACAAGGGGTCAAAATATCATTGTTGTTCAAATAAACTATGAGCATACAGCTTTTCACATAAGGAGCAGCTCTAAATAAAGATGCTTATCTTTTTTTTATGGTGGAATTTACTATCACAGTATTTGCGGTGGCGGAAACTGGTCATTAAACTCAAAAAGCAAAAGTGGCACTCATTACCTGAGCAGAACCAGTGACAAAAACATCTAAATCAAGAGTAACATTCAATAAAACACACCTGGACTTTCATTACATTTTTATCAGGTATGGTAATGAATGGAGAGAAATAGCCAGTAATGTAGCTGTATACAGAGATCAAATTGTTTTTCCATTAAAAAAAAAAAAAAAGACAAACTTAAAAAAAAAAAGAAGATAGCGCCCAGCTTTACAAGACCTTTAGAAAATAAGCCAACTAAACTGAACAGCATTAACAATAATTATAGCGGTCAACAGAATATTCATACCACTGGAAGCAGAGGATGGCTGTGTAGTCTGAATTCTATCACCCTCCTAACATCGGATGCAGGCAGGACATTGTGTGCTTACATACGTCAATAGCCGGGGAAAGAAAAGACAAGGCTCACCACTTCAGATTCTTCTGCTAGGAAAACAACTGCTGCAAAACAGTTATCCTTTTACTCCATCAGAATTTCACTTCTAACCTTCTCTCAAAACATTTGTATACCAAGCAGGTCAGCACAACTAGGCAGCCAATAGTTACTTTTCATTATATGTAGAAGCTGATTTTAAATCAAGAATTACTGCCTTTTTTTTCTCCTCCTTTCTCAACATTGGAGCAACTATCATTACAACTTAATTCTAAGATTAGATTCACTTTTTCCCCCCTTCCTTTAAACTATGATCAGTTATGACACTAGGAAAATAACTGGCCAAGTGACCACATAATGAGAATAGTTATAGAAGAGTGGAGGAAATACAATTCAGACTGCAGAATAATAAAGACGAGTTCACCGAGAGCGCAGTGACGTATAGTAGAGATGAAAGTGCAGTTGACATGTTTACTCTGGGATGTCTAGGCTGCAGAGCTGGATTTAATATTTAATATTTAAATGAATGAACAATGGAGGTCTCAGAAAGATGGGAAAGTGGCAGGAGGAGATCAGATTTCCCTTTGGCTGCTCCCGTACACGCTCTCATCACTGTAGGCAATGTAGAGGAAAAAGTCCTCTTCATGATGCTCCTGAAGAAAAAAACAAAAGACAAACAAAAAAAACATTAAGAGTTTATTTAATTTAAACGGGACAATACAACAAGTCACAAAACTGAGTTAAGAGTTCTTGCCTGGTACAACAGGCCCATGGTGGCTGAGGTGGGTGGAATGACGTTGTTTACAAAGAAGAAGAGAGCATCCTCAGCTCGCAAGTGGATTCTTTTCCGGATTAAGAAGTAAAACTGGCCCACTGTTGACAAAAAAAAATAAAAAAAGTTGTTGAAAACACAAACTTAATGTTCGTAGGTTAGCCCACTAAGTGCAGTGTTACCTGTCAAGTCAGAGGGGACAAGGTACTTCTTCTTATCCAGATCTCCTATTCTGGCTTTGGGAGCCTTTTCCACAATGACCTAAAGAAGCAAAGGAGAGATGAAAACTTTGTTCAATATGTTCTCAATCAATGAATTTATCGCTTCACCACTAAATGGAGTGTGTTCACCAAGTACTTTGACCACGTGTTCAATCTTTGACAAGACAAAAAAAAAAAAAAAAAAGGATCTGAGGAAGTACCGAATGAGCGACCGAGCGAGGGCTGAAGTGATTCAAAAATAGCTTGTTGACAGTAGCTAAGGTAAGTCAGCCAGAGGGAAACGTGTTTACAGAGGAAGGTTTTGAATCTGGTGGTTGGTTTGGAAATAGAGCGCACACAAAGCCAGTTCTTTTTTATCTTCTTCTTCTTCTCCTTTGAACCTAAAAATAATGCTTAGAGCAACTCATCCTTAAGCGCTTTAATGAGTCATCACTTAACTGTACAGAAGAGTGATTGGGAGACGCCTTAAATGAAAAATGTTTACCTTTCGTTGTGATGGTGATGTGGTTAGAGTGGGTGTTACAATCAGGAAAATCAGACTGCGGCTGCCGTTATGCTCCACTTGCCTGATTAGTGGTTCCCCTACTGGCTGTGCTGTCCTTTTTAAAATAGGTTTTTATTTGCTAAAGTTAGACGCCATTTTGAGAATTTGCAATGGGAAGGGTAAATATACACAGAATACAGTCTGTTAGCAAGGTAGGCAAGAGGAAGCAGCTAATTGTTCAAGCTTTGGTTCTATAATGCTGCATGTGATTTGCCTGAAAATAAGTACAAGTAGTTTTAAATAAAAACAATATTACGTTGATGTTTTCAGCTACACAAAAATTCACAGGTTTGATAAAGTTCATGCTGAGTTAGCCTGTGCAAGATTTTAAGATTTCAACATACTTTAAAGATTATTTCAACATTTGTGTAACAAAAGAAATGTATATGATTCATAGCAGAATAGTATGTCAGAATTTTTTAATGCCGAAAATGTGATTTGCTCAAGTAACAAACATGACCTTTGGGCTGAATAAAGAGACTACTTCAAGTCGGATAGCTATTCAAAACACTAAAAGAGATGGATTATCAAGGATCATTTACTGAACATTTCATGGCAATATCTGAAAAATAAAGACTCAATTTTCTCATTTAACACCTGAAATGTCCTTTGTTTCATTTGACATTTCTTTTAGTTTAAAATGTGCTCTGCTGCCCATTTTTATTTTTGTTTATTAGTATTACCTAATAGAAACTCATGTATCAATCAGACAAATGTCTTCTTAAATCTAAAAATAACAGTTTTTTTTATATGCATCCAAATAGCAACCAACTTACTCATTCTACTGGAAATGTATCTGCAACCACACGGCATATATTAAGTGTTTGCTTTTATAGATTTGATCAAATGTTGTAAACAAAGGCGAGAACATGACATGAAATAGTCTTTCCAAAAATGCTGTGTAATTGTTGTGCTCGTCCACGATTGATCTGTTGCCTTGCCTGATAAAGGATGTGAAGGTAATGTCAGTGCAACTAGACGGAAAGAGAAAAGGGTGAAGCTCATCTCACAGTCACATGAGGCTTTGAGCCAGACCGTCCTGTTCGATCGGGATCAGGTAAACAGCAGAGCCTATACAATCTAATGAATATCCGGCGACAAACAAACAGACTTTTCTTTAGGGGTAACTATTTTTAATCCGCCCATGTCTAGTCAAGTTCAATGTTCACCCTTAAAAATAAACATAGCCATCTTTAAAAAAAAGAAAAGAAAAGAAAAAAAAGCAGTCACTTTGATACGTTATCTAAAATTCTAAATTAATATAGATAAGGATGAGACACCGGAAGCTAGCTTGACTACCTGGCCTGTTAACTGCGATAACCTCTGTCGTCTTTAGCTAACGGCTATGTTTATTAACGTGGAAGCTGAAAACGGACACCACCACGTCACCAAATACGTTTGAATTACCCTATGTGTTTATTGAGTGTTTCTATTTCGAGTTTTCGAACAGTCACAACATAAAATATGTGTATCTAGAAAAGCTTCCGCGTCTTCCGTCAGCTAAAGGTGCTACCGTGTTAGCCACTTACTGGGACCCTGTCCGGGTACTTCTTCCTTATTTTCTCGCCCTCGGACCGCCTCTTCTCGAAAGGGTGCTCCTCTTTGTACTGAAACTTCATCGTTTGAAGAGTTGACAGACAACAAGTCGGTCACTCCTGGTTTAAAATTGACTCTGTTTTCCCGTTCAGACAACGACTCAAACCGCTGACACAAACACACTCAATGCTAACTAGCTTTAGCTCACCACAGCTGTTTTTTGCCACTGGCGGAGGGATACAATAACAACATGACGTAGACAAAGAGTCTAGTTCGTAGGGTGTAACTCAACACGTTTCCTTGCAGTTACAATCAGTAGTTAGTCAAGCTAAACAGTGTATTTTGATATTGGACGTAATTTTGTGGGATCAGCTGTTCGCGGGATAGTTTTCCAAGGAACTATTTTATCTTTGTGAAGCGCCGCGCATGTGGACTCTGGGCAGGGCCGTGAGGAGGTATCTGTCCTTGTCATATGACCGAGGCCCAGCAACAGCAGCAGAGATGAAATTTCCAAAACATTAGGTCTCACTTTTGGTATTACTTATGAAATGCGTTGTGATTTGTTAGATGAAAGCAATATTATTTAAATGATTGGTCCCTCATTCGGTTTTCCTTAAACAAACACATAAAAAAAAACATTTGCGGATTAAGGTTGTAGTATAACAAAATATTAAAGCACTGAGACTGGTCATTTTTAGGCTTGCAAGCTTGTTTGACTTTGTACATTAACATAAGAATAAAATAAAATTGTGTGGCGAGCATCAATTTAAACCTAAATCCTCCCATTATGCACTTGGAATAGTATACTGCGACTGGAATTTCAGAATTGCATTTTGAATTTCTCTTAAACTAGAAATTCATAACTATTGTATTTTAGCTATGACCAGTTTACCATTATTAAAGATGAACTTCCTAAAAATATCCAAAACAAATGCCAACCTATTGCGCAAGGTAGTGACTCCATGACTCCCCATGTTCATGTGATTTCCGAGTTACAGGCCTTATTAAAGTTGAGAATGAGGTCGATTACAGAGACCTAAAACGTTCCCTATGTATTTGACAGAAAGTTCTTAAAGTGAAACAACTGATCTATTTCAAACTGGCATTACATTTTGTACAGTTTTCAACTAATCAACTCTGTCACACATTCTTCTGGACCGCAGTATTTATTTATTTTTTCATAACTACAGGGTATATAGAAGATTTTTCCTTATTGTACAATGTTGTTTTTATTGTTTATGTCTATAGTCACTTTGCTGCTGTTGCACAGAAATTTCTGTGGGATAATAAAAGATATTTTTCTGTTTTAGTATTTTCTACTCCATTCTTTCCAGCCAATGATTTGATTGCGATAGTTAAACAGTTGGAGCTTCTGGATGACACTTAGACATTTTATATATCAATGTCATTTTGTTCCTTAAAAATAAAGTGGAAATTAATTTATAAATCATCAGGGATCATCTTTTTAGGTAGAGGCAAAAAAAAGTGTATTAATTTTGATCAAGCATAAAGAGTCTAAAAATAAGAACTTTTATTGCAGTGGAATACTGACAAAATATAAAATCCCACATTTACTTTGAGAATACCCTTTATCCTATGAAATATTTCATCAGGTCAAAAGTGTCAGAGTGGTGCCACAATTATTTGTAGTCCAAAGAATCTTCTTTCAAATAAATTATTGATTCAATTTACGGTCCACGTTTTACTAGCAAATGTCTAAATTATATCCTAATGTTGTACCAAACTGTCCTAAATGAAAAGCTTTGCATATTTGCATCTTGTTTTATTTGGGGCACCAGGAAGAGGGTGTGTGAATTTAAATTTACTTTAAGAAAAACATTTTATGAATGTAACTCTTCTTTAAATCTAAAAATAAGACTGGTTTGTAATTTAATATTATACTTAATTATGAAAGTTCCATTTAAAGTCTTCTTTACAAATCTCTCAACACAAAGCTTTTCAAAATTTGTAAAGATACTTTTGTTTTTAGAACAAAATTAGTGATCAAATTTGTAAAAATGATTGTATAACGATTGGGGGAGAGAATCTAAACCACAAGATCCAGTTTAAAACTATGGTGCAAAATAGTCTAGTACCCAATTTCTTTGAATTTCTCCATTCTCAGTCAGTCTTTGTGGGTTTGCTGATGTTTTGTGTTGTTGTCATGCTGAAAAACAAAAACCAACAAAACAAAAAACCTCCATCAAATTACATTCTTTTCCAAACCTTTTCCAAAAGTGTTAAATTCTAATTTCTAAAGTGAAGGCCCCAACCCTAGGAACCAAAGTTTGAAACAAAAACGATAACCGTTGTGTACTTTGATTTGAAACTCTGGATCACAACTAGCAAGCTTTTTTTCTCTCATGTCAGACCTGTAATTCAAAACACATGAGATAAAGTTTGTTCCTTTTTCAGCCATCCTGAACAGGAGAGTCTGAGTAACACCAGTGTAGTTCTCCTTTCAGGCCACACGGTGGCAGCAGATCATCCAAACTAAATTACAGACCCCCCCCCCAAAGAGCGGAAGCAATTACTTGAGAATAAAATACGAAGCCATTATGCTGCATTATTGTGAAAAGGAATGAAGCTGCATAATTAGCAGGTTGATACTGACGAGTGTTTTATTAGTAACACAGACATGAAGACAGAGCCGATAGGAAGCCGCTGTGAGCTTTGACGAAACTGACATTGTTCAGAAGGCATTTTTAAAATGGAGGGTCTTACAGCTGAACCCATACAATCTGGGGTGGAAACAGAACAGGGAAGGTTGTAAAACAGAAATAATCTGCAACAACAAAAAAATGAAGGGTGTTAAGTGCAATTTCCTATTAGGAGTAAATCCAGAATGGCATTAAATGAGAGCAAAACGTCTTTTATGGAGAATTCATTCTGATCATATATCATGGAGGCAGAAAACAATCAGATATGGAAAAGCGGCACGGCAGTCAACATGTCATTAACAAGCCATTTGTTTTTCTCACGATGTTCAAGTCTTATTTCACCGAGTCCCAAGAGGAGCTTGGGGGCAAAGAGTGATGATCCTGACAGGAAGTGGGAAGAAAAGATCTGTCCAGAAAAAAAAACAATAAAAGGCCTGCAGATGTTGTATGTCAAGCAAACTCCAGCAAATTACAATATATCAGTGAATCCATTCTTGTTGGGCAGACGAAAATAGTACCTTAGAAATACATGAATCAATATCTGTGGATAATGTTGGTCTAAAGAAAAAGCAACAACGAAAGGTTTATTTTTCTGTGCTACCTCCTTGATTTGCACCGAGAAGGTAAGATGAGGTGGCTGCTGAAGTGCAATGATGATGGCGGCAGAGGAGAGGAAGAAATAATGACACAGAATCGTCTTTGTTGCTTTGCTGATCCGCTTCTTTATCCCCAGGGGTCTTTCAAAAAAGTTTAAAAAGGACTAACAAGCTCCAACTCACTTACACAGCTTCCCTCCGTACTCATACAGTCAGTATCAGGAGCTATAAGGCAGAGAGGCTCCATTTTGTTTTAGAAAAGAAAAATAAAAAGATTTAAGAAGGAAAAAAAAACAACAAAGAAAAAAAAGAACCAGCCGGCTCCCTCTCCCTCCCCAGTAGTTCTTGGGTTCTGGTGATCCCGTACTGTTCATCCCCAGTTAGGCGCTCACCCCAGCCTCTCCCATCTCCTCCAGGATACGTCCGGGAGGACTGGTGGGTCGTCAGAGAGGGAAAAGAGGGCAGGATGGAGACCGGCGGAGAAGAGGCTGCTTGACAAGCAGCACGCTTCTCCACTCGGCCAATCACCAGAGCCGGTGCTGGTGGAGGTTTCGACTGAGGACGGAACGAACGTCAGCGGTGAACCTGCGACAAACGGAGAGACGGGAGTGACATGGGCAAGAGATTACAATGGAGGTCTAAGAGACATTCTAATGTTTTAGAGAAAATATTAACTGGGACAAATATTAGCTGAAGGATTTATGAATGCTAATGCACCTTTGATTAGTAGTAAGTCAAGCACCGATCAACATATTTGATTCCTTGATGATGGCATTTGACAGAATTTAATGTTTGTTTGTTTTATAATTGCTGACTATATGATATTTTTATTATGCATAGCACTTTGAACTGCCTGGTTGCTGAAATGTGCTAAACAAACTTGACTTAACCCCGACTATCTCCAGCCCGACTCCAACCTCTCCTCTTCCTCCATCTCAAATTTTTTAATTTATACAGATAATAATATTTATGAATCTAGAGTTTCCAATGTTCTAAGGTTTCATCCATTTCCATTTTTTGTAGAATTACCTTTCACTGGGGTGAATACAGCTGCAGGTTTGTCTCTACCAGCTTTGCACCTAGAGAGTCTAAACGTTTTGTTCATTCTCATTTGCAAAAAGCTCAAACTTAGTCATGTTGGGTGAAAGGCATCGATTTTAAAGCTGGGCTATTCCACCGCAAGACTTCACTTCCATGTAAATCCTGCCTATTCAGCTGACTGTATTTTATGGTTGCTACCTTTAAGACAAACCTCCATCTTCCCACTTCTCTGGCTTGTTGTGAAGTTTCAAATAACCATGTTGTGGCTTCCTGGCAATAATAATAATCTTTGGTCCAATTTTTCAATAAAAGGACAGATTTGACCAGCTTTTCCATCTGCCTCTTTGAATAATGCTCTCCTTGCCGTTCCTGTCACTTTAGGAAGACCGCAATATTGATTTACATCCTAACCCTCGTGGTTTAAAGTTCGGCTCCTGATGAAACCAGTACAAAAAATTCACATTCTGGTTTTTTTCCCCAGTCTCAAATGCAATCTGTATTACCTGGATTAAAATGGGATGGTTCCACAAGTCACAAGTTCAAAATGTCAGCTTTCAGGTGAACTTTGTTACCTTAGTGCATCCAGCATAGGCAGCAAGTTTAGAAGTGCTGTGTCACTAGGGTCGCTGAACCAGGACTTAATGGGTATTGCATTGTCTGTAGGGCAGAAAGCAGCCAGTCAGTCGAGACAGAGGACAGGACATGTTTTGATTTATCATTTCAAAACAGGCACACCACTGAGTACTCAGTCAGACACAAATGAAATTAACAAAATATGAGGTTTGTAATGCATGTTAAAAAAATGCCTCAACTACCCATCTCAAATTATTCATCACTACCTGCAGTTTGAGGCTAAAACAGATCTGCTTGAATTATAAAGGATCAAAACATTGTTAAATCAAAGGAGACATGCTCAACCA